AACAAGAACTGGGTCATGGCCGGAAGGAGAACATTTTCTCCAAGCTTCAAGGGTTTCTTGCCAGAAAGGCGGACGAAGACGTATTGGAAAAGTCGGCGCTTGTCTGGCAGACTGACGTATGCCATACAGCATAGGGCCTCGTAGACAGTCAAAAGCACGGCGCCCTGGTCCTCCCCAAGGTCCGCTCTCGAAAAGGCCCGGCCGTCAGCCTCGACCTTTTCAATGATCTTTTGTGCCCACTCGAGACCCTTATCTATGCGGTCGAAGTCGAAGGTATGGAGACAGTTTTCGATGCCAGAGACAGCATCCTCGGGCCATTTCCTGCGCGAAAGTCAGCAACGAGCTCTCATCTACGCAATTAAATAGTCAAAACCTACTCAGCAAATACCCGCAGGTACTTCTTGCGGTGCATGTGCCAGTTCATGACGCACTTATCGCAGTTGTGAAGATTGATGGCCATTCGCTTTCCCCATTCTTCTAGCCAGACACCGGCCTTGTCCTTTCCGTAGGCAAGAAGAAGGCTGGTCCAATAGACGATGTCGAGGCGCTTCTTCCAGGCCTCGACTCTTTCCTTCTTCTGCAGGGCGGAGATCTCTTCGCCGGCTGAGTCCACATCATCGTAATCCTCGTAATCGTCTTCGTCGACTTTCGGGCAGAGAAGATGGACGTCTGGCGGGATTTGACCGAACTTGCGAAAATTTTCTTCGAGAATATCCTCGACAGGTTGTGCATCCATTTTATCGTAGTGTTTGTGAGCACGGAGGCATGTCGTGATGGGTAGACGGCGGTGGCAGATTAAGGGAAAGTGTATCGAGCGCGCAGCGTGCGATAGGTCGGAGATGGGCGGCGACCACTGTGGTTCGCGCGCATGAACGCGAGAAGATCTTTCGATTTTTCACAGCGTCGAGAAGCTACCCAGGTCTTGCGAAGAGGTGTCGCGGCAAGTGAGGTCAAGTCGTCGTGTCGATGGATCTTCCTCTGCGTTGCTCGGGTTGGGGTTGCAGGAGGGATGGTTGAGGGCCGGCAGGTCGCCAGCTAAAAATTAAATAGATTGTTGAGCAAAACAAGGTAGGAAGGAGTACAGGACTGGACAGGTTGATCGTGGAGGAAGGAAGGTAGGAGTCCACGATCGTGGAGGTGGTGGTTGCTGGGTGGCAGAGTAGGCGACGGGTGTTGAGAATTGAAGTGGGCTGCAAAAAGTGCAGTGACACGCTCCGGCCCGGCTGGGACGCGGCCTGGCGTTCAAAATCCCATTAAAGCGCATCTAACGTGTCGACAGGGGGTGTGCAATGGCAAATGGGTCCCTTCACAGAGGCCTTAGGTAACTTTGTACCTTCTGCAGGTTACGTCAGGCATTTTCGGTGTGACCGGTTGATGCTTCAGCACATGTGCCACTGAGGCTTGGGCTTTGAAGCACTGACCACATCTTAAATCCCACCTCACACCAGACCAGGCGCGTTCATCCTTGATCTCCAGGCCTCTTCTTTTTCACAACCCCGTTTTTGGGTCATGTCACTAAATGACATCTCCAGGATGAGCTATTCCCAATCTTTCATAATGCATCTCCTAGGCTCGTTGTATCTTCTATGAAAAGAAAACAGTACCTTGGGTCACTAAAGGAAGCATTCCTCATTTGACCAAGAGCGAGGTGTTTGTCATGGTGTTCTAGAAAATGCCTGAAATGGAACCCGTCTGGGAATGTTTCTATTTAGCTAATATACACCTGTGTGTATAGAAGAGAAGAAGCAAGCTGTAAATGATGCGATCAAAGAGCATACTCCCCTTTTTGGAGACCAAAGTAGGTCCAAGCCCTACGAGAGCACCTGACCGAAAGAATCGCAACCGCTGCAAATAAGAAGAAAAACAAAAGGAAATCGCCTCCTTCCAAGATAATCAACCGGTTCGCACGCATGCAACTGCTCTCAAGACCCGCCCACTCTCTTAGTCGGATCTTGTGGCCTTCTTGATTCGCTGACTTCGTCGCATTTCGACGTCGCCGTTGTCACTCAGCCGCTTCTCCTAGATTGCGTTGCCGTCACTTCCATCTTCAGAAGACCGACTCTGGGCTTCGTCTTCAGCGCCACCATCTTCCATGGGTACCTGCTCCATGTCCTCCTCCACCGTATCCTCGGAAGGCTCCTCATTGTCGGCTCTCTCCTCTTTGAGACTGACCCTCTCCGACTTTTTGGGCGGCTTAGCCTCGTGCTTCTCGAAACGGTCTAGGAGATGCTCGAGGGGGCAGACGACAGCATTCCACTGAGCCGTGCCCTTCGCGGTGCCACTGCGGCAACGGTAGCACTGCTGCCCATGCGCGATAAACAACTGATGGAGGCCATACTTCAACTCGTCGGGAACTCGGTAGTCGCAATGCTTGAAGGTTTTATTAGCACTTGCCCCTCTGGGAACCCACCCCAACCACAGGCAGAATCGCCAAACGTGCGTGTCGACTGCGAAGCTGGGTTGCTGGAGGCAGAAAAGTAGAAGACACGAAGTTGTCTTGACGCCAATGCCCTTGTACTGCAGGATCTCTGGCATTGCTTCGGCTACTGGCATGGTACGGATGTGGTCGAGTGTTAAAATTCCGTTATCAATCTTGAGTAGTTGATGGTCCTTCTGGCCTTGGCTCATTCTGGCGGCTCCTTTCACATTTGCTGTCTCTCCTGACTCCTTTTCTTTGATGAATGCTGCCTTCCTGAGTTGGTTCTCCTCGAATACTTTGTCCAGGATTTCCTTCATCTGTTCGCTCTTCACATTAGAAAGGCCACCAGTAATCATCGCCTTCTGAAGCTCTTGAATTGGGGAGAGCCGGACAGCATTCCAGTCGATGCTGCCAGCCCCAAGACCATCCTTGTCGAGCACACCGTACGCCTTGATGATTTCTTTGATGACCCTATCTGCGTTGGTCATCTTTGTGTTCGCGCTAACCATGGTTCGCATCATTGCGTCCAAGATGTCTGGTACCTCGCCACAGCCTGCAACCTCAGTAGACGGTGGCAGGATCTTGCTTGGAGACTTTCTCTCGCCATGCTGTGCAGTGAGTATGTCGTGAACAATTTGGCATTGTTCTGCTGTTGGGCCCCGGTGGTTAGGAAAGGGCGTTCGGCCAGGCATCAGACCGTAGGGATTAGGGATTCCCTTCTTGTCTTTTTCGCCAGCAGTACTCTTCTCTTTAGCAGTACCCTTCTGGACATCATCGTTCTTCTGGTGATCACTAATTTTCAGCTTGTCATTGTCGTTTGGGATAGCTGTATGTTCCTGGAGATCGTTGTTCACCCCCTGAACACTGCTTATAGCCTGGCCGCTGCTCCCATGATGAATAGTTCCCAACCCATGGGGAAGAACATCGATAGCCTTCTTCTTTGATGTCTGAGATGGCTGCTTGGCTTTTGCTCCACGCCGTTTTGCCTGTTGGGTCTCGGTAGGCTGGGCAGCCGCTGCGCGCTTTGTTCCAACCTTCGCAGGCTCTGTCTTTGTCACCTGAGGCTGGAAGGCAGCTTTGGCTGCAAGTCTTGCGGCAGCTCGAGTTTGCATTCTGTCTGCTGTGCGTGGTGCTAGGTAGATACTAGATATTGTACTGTTAGCGACTGTTATTCAAGGGGTTAGCCAACCTTGGATATACCAGCAGTGCGGGTAGTGTATTGTACTTCAGAAGTCGTGTGGCTGAGAGACTTGTGATCTTTGAAGGCTGAATGCCCGTTGTCTGCTACAAGACAGGCTTATGTCTCCTTTGGTCCAGGCGTGATAGTAGTGGGCATTAGGCAAGGAAAACGAAGGACGGGGGTGGCGCGACAAGAACTGTTGGGTGGTATGGTGGTGCCAATCTGCTGATTGTTCGGCTGAGATTCAACCTCTATCATGCAGTATGACAGCTGTGATAGAGGTGAAAGCTTTTGGGCGAAGTGTGTAAGAAAGGTGGGATGAAGAAAGATGTGCGCGTGGGATATGCTGTCTGAGGGTGGCTGTTAGCTTATTATCCGCATAGATAGGAAATCTACCCCTTAGAGATTCTTCCCAGATAGAGGAACACCACGCGAGGTGAAGAACTTACACTAATATGAGCAGGCGCGACCTTGTATGAGTTGATGGCCAGAAGATCTTTTGCTTATCTCACAAGATACCCCTGAAAGGGTAAGGTTGATAAGAGTCACGTGTGGATGAGTTTTGTGGAGGAAAGGGTATTTGAAAAGTCTTTGAATGACTTGAGAATTAAGTCTTAGTGGCTGGCTAGATGTGCATGAAGAAGGTGTGTGTTTGTGCTCATGTGGAGAGTTGTTGGCTGGTTGGCTGCATGTGAAGGAGATGGGAGTTGTTGTCGGCGGGGAGGTTTGTTGTGGACGAGAAAGCCTGAGGGAGCGTCTTTTAAACTCCAAACCAAGCAAGAAGCAGGAGGGCATGCGCACAGCTCTATCGCGCCTCCCCTATTTGTGGATGACCGTTAGCCCGCCGAACCACTCCTTCTTGTTTTTCAAAAAGCCGACTGCCAACCCAGCGTGCTATCCCCTTTGAGAGATGATCATGCATTCATCGCACCTACCCGTGTGTTGACCGACTTAAAGTCTCCATCACCAATCCACCTATCCCCTCCAGCTCTATCTACCTAAATCGCTCCCACACTTGGACCAGTCGACCTCTGGTTTTAGGCTTCCATCTCCTCTTGTCTCAACCACCTACACCTCCACATCCACCTACACTTCTTCCTTCGTTCTTACCACTTCCCACTTCCTCCTTCCTCCTTCCGCCGTCCAACTTTACGACAGCTGCTCTTTGTTAGCTTCCACCTTCGACAGAAAAGCTTTCCTGCTTTCTCTTAGTTGTCTACCTACCTGGCCAGGGACCCGTGTCTCAAGGGATTTGGTGCCATACTCGGAAAGACTCGCTAGACTTCTCATCTCTTCTTGAGCTCGACCTAGGCCTCACCTACATCAAGCGAAACTTAGACAGGGTGGGTAATTCCTTCCCAATTCAGTCACAGATCACTGACCTCAGAAAGAGCAGTCAACATGAATGGCCGACGCGCCGGAGAGAGCCCAGACAACGCCATAGATGTGGACGAAAATGACCTAGTGTTAGAGGTTGACCGCGAGGTTGTTGAAATTGGGCGGCGGGTCAGGAACTACCAGCCTCAGAAGAATCGGTCCTTGGGTTCACAGGCAAGCGATGGCGTCGACGAGGAGAAGTATGAGAACCTTGCGAGCGAGGCCCTGGCAGGCCTGATCGACTTAACCATCGATGACGAGCCCATTGTCGTTCGTCGGTCTCGAAAGCGCCGTCCCAGACCACAACGCGAGATACCTCAGCGCGAGCACGAGAGATTCCAGTACAAGAAGCTCATGATCAAAGTCAATACGCTCTATGAGCTTGATCCAGAACAGACACCCCCAACAGCCGTCGGAGTTCACTTCATCAAAGTCAACACCATTCTCGAGAACTTGGAGTCGGGCGAAATCAAGATTTGCGGGATGCCTTTTTGCCGGTCTCGAACACTCACGGCTAAGCTCCCTCGAAAACTCAACGAGATCTTCTGTCTACTGGAAATTGATGCAGACGATGACAGGCCAGCGGAAATTCAGTCGAGAATCGAGGTTTCAGCCGCAGCACTTATCCGCCCTCGAGCGCTACATCTTACCAACGCCCCTTACCCTGAGCACCGGTATATGGCGCGCGCGTACTGCAACTATGAGGTTGTTGAAAAGGAAGGACCCCTTGTGTGCCGCTGGAACTACTTCATTCACTATCGAGACTGGAAGATGAAAGTCAAAGGGAAAGCCTATCACTGGACGTTGGAGCGCGTTCGCGCGAGTGAGGTCAAAAGGGAGGACCACAAGGTCGAAGAGGATAAGTTGAGACAAGACTGGAGGGGGCTTACCGTCCAGGGGGGATCGCACCTTCCAGAGACAAGTGACGGCAAGCAACGCTACACAGTCTTCGACTCATTCTGCGGCGCAGGTGGCTTCTCTCGTGGAGCCGAGAGAGCTGGATTACACGTTCAGTTCGCAGTCGACCACTGGGAAAAGGCTTGCGACAGCTACAGACTCAACTTCCCAGAAACCAAACTGTACCAGACATCCGTCGACGAGTTCATACTGAGTCACACGGACATACCCATGAGGGCCGACATTCTTCATCTATCACCACCCTGCCAGACATGGTCGCCGGCACACACTATCCCGGGAGTGAACGACGAGGCTAACATTGCAGCTTTGTTTGCTTGCAGAAGCCTAGTGGAGAGACTGCGGCCTCGGATCTTCACATTAGAACAAACGTTCGGTATCCTGCAGGGCTGTCACGATCCTTTCTTCTGCTCACTAGTCGGCGGCTTTACCGACTTTGGATACTCGGTGACCTGGAAGATCGTGCACTTACAGACCTGGGGCCTACCTCAAACCAGAAAGAGACTAATAATGATTGGCTCTTGCCCAGGAGAAAAGCTGCCCCCGTTCCCGACAGCAACGCATTCCGAGACAGGATTTGGCGGCCTATCGAAATACGTCACAATCAGGCAGGCCCTTCGCAAGATCACCGACGATTCGACGTTTCATAACCCAGACGAAGAAATCACTGACAGCCCGCCTCCTTCCGGATCAGTGGTCAGTGACCCTGATCAAATCTTGAAAAGATGCGTCACCTGTTCCGGCGGTCAGAACCGGCACTACAGCAACACCCGAGCGTACACCGTCAGAGAGTTCGCCAGTCTTCAGGGTTTCCCGGTTTGGCATAAGTTTTCGCCTGCTTCTAAAGCTGTACTCAAGAAGCAGATTGGAAACGCATTCCCAGCGTGTGTCGTCAAACTCCTCTGCGAGCACTTGAAAAACTGGCTGCTAGAAGTCGACGGTCTTGCGGCCTCACGACCTGGCAGAGCTAGTGTAGGAGGGAGGGAGTTGATCTTTGTGTCGGAGGGACCTCGCCAACCGTCACCGCTGGAACTCGTTCAACCCCTCCTTCTACCAATGGGCGTTGACGTTGGCGGTGGTTCTCTCGATCAGGCAATCATGCTTAACGAAGATGAACAGTGTGAGATCAAGTTCGACATTGACTCCGACATCGAAATGGAAGATGTGCCTGTGCCCGACGTCCCCGACTCGCCTCGCTCGGCTACGCTATCTCTTCCGGGTACGCCTGAGCCTCCCCAGGCCGGTTGCGTAAGAGATTTACCGATTTTCATCGACTGAACCCATCGAGGCCCATGGCTTATACGAAAGAACGAATTGCTTATTTATTGTCTTGATGGCTTTTTGAGAGAAGGATATGGATGTCTTTGGTTGACATTATCGGATATCGCTGAACAACTGGGGAACGACAGCAAAGGAAGGAATATCACGCATGGAAAGGAACACGATTTTCATGTCTTGGTATCAATATTATGTTTTGCTCTTGTTGCTTGGCAGGTCTAGTTAGATATCATGACCGCAATACACTCTGATCAATCCAGGAAATGAATCCGTTCTTGCCGTCCTCAGTTTGAAAAACATCGACGGGATTCCTGTACGGCTCGACCGCTGTCTCGTTGAGCACGTACGTGACGCCGCTGGCGGCCATCTGGGTAGGCGTCCAGCCGGGGCCTCTGTCGTTGTACACCGCCATGAAGGTGTAGTTGTTGGTGCGGGGGTCTGTGGTACCCCAGGGGATGTAGCCTTCGGGCTTGATGCTCGCGTCAAAGTAGGACTCCATGAAGATGGAGCGGTGCTGGGCGTTCCAGGGGCGGCCGAGGGGGCAGGCACCCTTGATGACCGGCGCGATGGATGAGTTGGCGGCGATGACCTGGGAGTCGGAGATGTAGACGCCGTACTTATTCTCGAAAGTCGTGTTGGTTCCTAGGCATGTTAGTGAAAGGACTTGAACTAGGCTGTGAGTGTGACTTACCCTTCCAAGCAGTAATGCCACCACCGCAGTTGCGGAGGGAAAGGGTCGACTTCTCAATGTACGCGGTGCCGAAGCCGTACAAGAAGTCCGTCTGGCCAGCAATGACGTTGTCGTAAAAATACGCATTGCCAAGCTTGCCGACGTAAAGGGTATCTTGGTAGCTGTACAGGCCGCAGGAGTAGAAGCCGGCGTTGGCCCTGCTGACGCCGACGGCGTGCGCAGGGCCGTTGGAGAAGGGGTACTCGTCATTCCTGAAGTCGATGTTGTAGGCGCGGAAGTCGGAGCACCCGAACGGCGTGTCGTCAGGCACGGGGAAGCCCGTGGGGCCGGAGCCGGTGAGGGTGGCGTTGAGGTTGGGGCCGACGGTCAGAACGCTGGTGTAGGCGTTGTCGGGGAAGGCGACGTTGTGGTTAGCGGCGTTCCACCAGATCTGGACCTCGTTCTTGTTGGAGGCGGTGGTGTTGAGGCTGACGTCGGCGTACAAACGGGACGAGGCGGGCCGGTCCGTCATGCCCAGGAGAGTCAACGGGCCTTGGCGTGTGACATTGAGCTGCTCGGTGTAGTTGCCCGGGGCGATGAGGATGGTGTATGCGTCTGTGTTGTTGGGGAGGGAGGCGATGGCGGCCTGGATGGTGGTGAAGTTTGCCTTGGAGGAGGACTTGCTGACGAAGATTGTGTTTGGGGGACAGCCGTCCAGGGGGTTATCGCAGGTCTTCTTTTGGCAGTCTGCGTATGTCTTGGCTGGGCCGCTGGGGATGCCCGCCGCGGCGGCAATGGATGCCAGGGGCAGGAGGAGGGACAAAGACACGGAGCTCTTCATGGCGAACTATACTACACACACAATTGGGGACTCGGCCGAGCTGGAGAAGGAGGGTGAGGTGTCATCCAAGAGTACCACGCAAACAAGACCCAGAGCTTTGGATGTTATATAGCTTCCGGCAGGCTTCGTCTGGCCCCTTTCTCGATATTAACCGGCTCGACTCATTGCTGCTCAAGCTTTTCCGGTTGCCCTTGTCCGGATAGCGTCCATCAGAGTCGCAGTTGCAATGGCACACACCCGACAAATTGGCAAAGATGCAGATCAACAAGGACCAGGTCGACGCGGGGTAGACGGAGATATTACCCCAGAGTGCGTGGCATTTGGGGTGAAGAGGACATGGGACTGACAAGTGGTGCAGACTGTGCAGTTCACACGGCAGCCGGCACATAGGAGAAGAATGAGGAGGTTGAGGTAGACTGCAACCCCCAATGACACCTCGTTACCCCAACTTTTGGCGGCTCTGCAGGCCCTGCAGGTGCAGATGGGACAGAATTTCAGCGACGGTTTGGAGATGTTCCACGAACCACGTCGCAAGCCGAAGACCAGCCCCCGGCAAACGGACGACGGGTCATGACGCTAACGACGAACGCTGGATGCGGGGAAGAAGCTTGTAACAACCTGGAGTCTGGAGTAGTGGTGCACTGCCTGGCACTCTAAGCCCGGAAAGTCTGGAGACTTAGATAGTGTCCGTACAGACGAGATTCCATCAACTGGCGACAGGAACAGCAGATGACGATGGACAGAATTAAGCACAAATACCAAGCCTTCGGAAACGCGGCAAGCCATCAAGCCAACCGGCTTGGCTCTCTGGGCGGCAGCGCCCCCACATGGCGGTTGGCTTCGTGGGGAAATCCCAGCGCTCAATTACCTCCTGCGTTGGCCCTTAATTAGCGCTAGCCCGCACTGTAATTGATGACCAGTAACATCAGCGAAGACGCCCGTCGCCGAGCAAATTTGCGGACACTGCTGCCGGGGGTTTTACAGCGTGCTATGCAGCATCCATGGAAGGGAAATCCACTTCATCCCAACTTCGCCGGCGCTCCAAACTCTTCTTGAACTTCAAGAAACACCCGTCCAAAGTTTCCCCCTGACGCCCACGCCGGGTCTCCATGTCTTCCACCACTTCACCGAGTCGCCCTCCGTCCGCCTTCAGTCCACTTTCATCAGCGCTCTGCCCAGATCTGGCAGTGTCCGGAAGGGGCGGAAATCACCGCACCAATCACCACAGGCGTGTTCCTGGCACCGCCAAACGAACCACAAAAGCTTGTTGGTTGTTCTGCTCCACCAACACAAGATGGGACGAATCGTTTGATTCGTTTCCCCCCGTCCTCGCCATGAAGTCCTCGTGGCCTCGTCCTATCTCGTCCTTAAGTCCCCGTTGCGCTCTTTCGTCCCCTTCGTATGGACGGAAAAATCAGACCCCATGCCATGTGCTGCCCCTGCTACCTTGGGCCCTTTCTAGTGCACTGCGTCAGCTACAGTAGCCCTCCCCCTATCTCGTGTCATTGAAGGTGGACTCGCCGCGATGACCTTGCCGTGCCGAGAAACGTGAGCCTCCCATTTGAGAAAACCGGCGTCTGATATAAGTACTGCTTCCTCGATTCTCAATTGGAGGCATTTGGAGAATCCCAGAGTGTCGCCCAACCTCGCATCCCTTGGCAGAAAAGAAAAAACTTGGCACATCGCGCGCTTCGCTTAACGGATAATCATCACCATGGTCGCTCCCACACTCCTCGGTGGCCTCGTCGCTGCCGCCGCGCTGGTTCCCCTCACCCAGGCCGCGCGCCCAGACATCAAGGCCGCGCCGTTCCATCCCGGCCGCGCCTTCCCGTCCTCGGCTCCGAGGACCAAGACCTGCGCCGTCAAGCCTCTTGGCAACGGCACCGACGACAGCGGCAACATCCTCAAGGCTTTCAAGGATTGCAACAACGGCGGCACCGTCGTTCTGGACCAGACTTACAACATCTGCAACCCCCTGGATCTTACCTTCCTGAACGCCGTCGATGTCGCCCTGACGGGCACCGTCGGTTTCTGCGACGACATCGAGCACTGGCTGCCGCGTACCTTCAAGTACAACTTCCAGGGCTCATCGGCCATGTGGGTGTTTGGCGGCAAGGATGTTCACATCTACGGCAACGGCGTTGGTACCCTCCAAGGAAACGGCCAGAAGTGGTACGACCGATTCGCGTCAAACGCCACCCTCGAGAGACCCATCATGTTTGTCACGGACGGCCTGAACGGCGGCTCTTTCACCGGTATTAACATGGTCAACTCCCCGATGGTGAGTCTCACCCACTCCAACCTCAAGTAAAGACCCGAGACTAACTATCAGCAGTGGTTCAACCTCATCGCCAACAGCACAGACTTCCTCATCTCAGACATTGACATCAAGGTCGGCTCGACCTCGTCCAACCCCGCCAAGAACACGGACGGCTGGGACACCTACCGTTCCGACGGCATCGTCATCCAGAACTCCAACATCAACAACGGCGACGACTGCGTCTCATTCAAGCCCAACTCCACCAACATCGTCATCCAGGGCCTCGTCTGCAACGGCTCCCACGGCATCTCCGTCGGCTCCCTGGGCCAGTACGTCGGCACCTACGACATCGTCGAGAACCTCTACGTCTACAACACCACCATGTCCAACGCGTCCGACGGCGCCCGCATCAAGGTCTGGCCCGGCATCGACACCCCCTTCCAGCCCTCCCTCTCCGGCGGCGGCGGCTCTGGATACGTCAAGAACGTCACCTACGACACCTTCCACCACTCCAACAACGACAACGCCATCACCATTGACCAGTGCTACGGCCAGAAGAACCAAACTCTCTGCAACCAGTACCCCGTAAGTCTTTCCCCCACCGTGCCATGTTTATGTCAAGTCCAAAAAAGCTAATGCGCATCGCAGTCCAACATGACCATCAGCGACATCTACTTCAAGAACATGGACGGCACCGCCTCCAGCAAGTACGACCCCCGCGTCGGCACCCTCGTCTGCAGCAGCAAGGAGAAGTGCCTCAACATCAACGCCGAGAGCATCGACGTCAAGACCCCCAGCGGCAAGACTGCGCAGTGGCTGTGCACAAACCTGGACACCGGTCTGCTCGACATCAACTGCGTCACCGCCGTCACCAAGTCCTAAAGGACCGGCAAAGTGCGCAGAAGAAATTTACGTTAATAGTCATGTACATTTTGTGCTACAGCGCGTTCTGACGACCCCGTGGGCAGTCCTGTTTAGGATGTGGCATTTTTGCCCCGGCCTTTGTATACCTTCATCGTTACATATTAGACTTCTTTAGATGTATATCAGAGCATACAGAAAAACAGCTCACTTTTCATACTTTTTACTATAACTACGCGTGAAGTATTCCTGTGTCAACTCGTCTGTTTCTCAGAACACTTCTTTCCGTAAAGCCTTTTCATGTCTACTGTCCTCGTCCTCGTCTTATACAGTGACGAACAAATGTCGCCCAGCTAAGGACACCCAGGAAGTTAAGGACGACCTCTGCCTCGATCAATCTCGCTATACCCTTTTCAGAGGCTTGTCCAGTTTCCAGACCGCCATATCCCGCTTTTCCTCGAAGCGCCACACCTTGACGCTCTTCTCGCTGATGGTTACGAATTTACCGCCGCACTTCTCTGCTACCCTCATACTTCCAACATTTTTGGGATCTACTTGGGCAATGAGATGCGTTATCTCAACGTCATCGTCATTCTCTTCATTTGATACATGGCCCAGCTGAGCTCCATCACCTTCGTTCTTTTCAGCTAATGATTGATCCAAAGCCAATCCATTTTCCGCCGGTTTTCGATGGACGTAAACATCACTCCTTGGCGCCGTTCGCTCGTGGCTCCAATACTCGTCTAGGAACAGTTGCAAGGCACGGGTCGCATACCCTTTCCGCCAACAATCAGAACGGATCTTGTAGCCGACGGACAAACCCCAGGGTGAAGCACGTGTTGTCCTCACGCAACCAATCATCTTGGTACAGCAGCCCCCTTCGTTATCTAGTGCCGGATATTTTGAGGACATGATGGCGCAGGTCACAAGCCATGGGGCCTGGCTGGTCGATGTGAATGTATTTTCCATCAGCTTTCTGGAGCTTTCAAGACTCTCGGTGTGGCGGAGCGAGCTGAGCCAAGGTGTAAGCCACGCTGCGACTGCGAGCAAATGTAAGGGGTGCCTGGTTTACCTCCATTCACATGCTTTCTCATCGGCGCACATCTCGTGGAAGTCGTTGAGATGCTTCTTCATTGAGAGAGGTTCCAGCCAGAAATCTGGACCGGCAGAGGTTTGAGATGACTGCATGATAACAGCGTAATGCACGTTGTCAACTTAGGCCAATAAGGTACTTCGATCAAAAATGAGCATAGGTGAAGAAGATAGTGATGACAACGGTGGTAGAGTAGGTAGGTCTGAATGAGCCTACAGGAAACGTAGACGCTCTGGCAAAGAAAAGGTAGGATGTCTCATCTATATCTGAGGTTGAGTCATAGCCAGGGTCGAAAGTCACCCAATAGCGCAGATCGAATGGCCTTCCATTGGCTGACATGTTATCATGATACACGCTGACGGCGTCCTCCAGCGACTATTGTCTTCCTCCGAGCGTCTTCCTAGTTCAGAGAGTCATTGCAACGTAGCCCAAAAATATCCCCGGAAAATGCCAAACACTGTCTCAGTTTTAACGGAATATACTGAAGTTTGTGAATGTTTACGAACTTATTCCTCAAGGATGGCAGCTGAATGTCAACGTCCTTAACCCCTGCAGCACCCCCCCCCCCCCCCCCCCCCCCCCCCCCCCCCCCCCCCCCCCCCCCCCCCCCCGCCCGNCCCCCCTCCCCCCCCCCCCCCCCCCCCCCCCCCCCCCCATTTCAGTGACCCACACCCCTGCATGGGGGAAGGTTCAGCTGCAGCCCGATAAGATAACACTTTTTTTCCCACCTCCAAACTTTCACGCCGACGACAGTCACAACGCGACGACGCCATTGCCGAGACACATTGCCATTGCAAAGGCGCCATGACCCGCGATGTCGGCCGCAGCTCCTAAGTCGAAACCTCTCAAATCCGCCTTCGCAAATAAACGAAAACAGGGTCCACCGGGCGACAATGGCGGCAACGGTGGAGGTGGCGGCGGCGGCGGGTGGGCTGCGAAGCGCGTCAAGATACGCCAAGACAGGGAAATCGTAGCGCAGCAGTCGGAAGCGGCTCTCAAGGATGGGGAGCTGGATTTACAGGCATTTCTGAACGCGCGCGAGTTCGAAATCAAGGCCCTCGAGGAGAGCATGCGACACACGAAAGGCGAGGCTACGAGCCGCGCCTTCCAGCAGGTTCCCCGCGGCATGCGACGGCGGACGGCGAGTCACAACGCGAAGAGGGTTCCGAAGAGGCTGCGCAGGAGGGCGCTGAAGGAGATGACGGAAGACAATACCCCGGTCGTCATTTCGCGACGGCGGAAACCCAAGACGACGAGGGCGAGGATCCGCGCAGAGACGGCGAAGAGGCTCGGCCTCCTGGCAGAGAAGAAGAGGAGGCGGCAGGTGAAGGCTGCCAAGGCGAAAGCACAGGACGGGGAGGCTGCGGAGGGGCAGAAAGTCACAGTCACGACGAGAGCGCCGAGGCCAAAGATCCGACGGAACGAGCTCAACGAGCCCCCGAAGCGCAAGTCGAGGTTCAGGAAGCGCCAGATCAACAAGACCTGGCTGCCGACACACCTGTGGCACGCGAAACGGGCGAGAATGACGGAGCCGAAGAACCCTCTCTGGAGATTCGCCATACCCCTGACGCCGAACGAGAAGACATACCGAGCGACGCATCGTGCGCAAGGAGAGAAGGGCGTGGTTGCGTGGGATACGAGTTACACGAGCACGATTGGTCTTTACGGTTCCGCCAAGAGCGTGGAACAAGTCTTGCGCAAGATTGGTGTCGCGCAGGAGAGTTGCTGGAATGACAGGGGAGCCATGTGGAGGGCTGGCACACGGCACTGGACGGGATTCTTGAGCAAGGAGACGAGGCACGACAGACGGGATATCTGCCCTGCCACGATCATCTGGAACCCCGAGGCCGTATCAAAGCCTTCGGCGGCAGGAGGCGAAGCACAGTCGAGCAAGACGCAGAGACAGGTTTTCCTGAGAGTCCATCCCTCTGCATTTCTCGAGGTCTTTAATGAGCTTCTTCGGCTCGTGAAGATGCATACCCCGAGACCATACATTGAGGACCTGAGATTCGAGATTGGCAGCATTGAGCTTACCGGCCCGGCGTCAACAGAGACGCTCCTCGGTATCCTCTACCCATACCACACGAAGGAACAGTCCAAGGAGAAGCATGCGGAAATATTCAGTGGCCTCACCAGTGTGATGAGCCCAGCAACACTTCCTGCGAACGCCACGCTTGGATTTTCCGTCTTGGATCCTCGTCTTCGATATCCCCCGAAGAGGATCAGCCAGCCTGACCCGGATGATATCGTTGCTCAAAGCAAGTCCCTGAATTTGCTGGGAAAATGGCCCTCGGATGTGGACCTGAAGCCTTACGGTCTATTTCACAGAGACTCCCGTGCCTCGGCAACTCAGCTGCCCTCCCAAAAGTCAATAGACCGACGCAAAGGAGCAAGACGCCCAGGGACCGTTCTGGAAGCCTCTGATGTCGACCCCCCTGTCCCTATTCTTCTGTTGGCTTCGCGTGCAGGCACAGGCAACCAAGTACAAGGCAATTGGACACTCCTCGCCCCGTGGAGATGCATCCAGCCCATCTGGCACAGCCTCGTCCATTTCCCGCTGTCTTCCGGCGGCAACCCGCGCTTCTCGGGCTTGAATGAGATCAGGCAAGTGGCATTCGAGCGGAACCTACCGTGCTTCCCTTTCGACCACCTCGGCACCAATGCCGGCGCGGAGTGGGAGCTCGAGGAGCGTGCCAAGCGGAAGCATGACTGGGAGCGACGGCCCAAGAGCAAGCGAGTCGCGTGGGAGTCGCTGGACCTCGGAGCTGGACGAAAGGGGGAGGTTGGTGATGGCTTCGCCTGCGACCTCGAATATCTGTTCAAAGAGAGCAACCCTGAAGCGCAAGCTGCGCCATCTTCGGACGAGATGGACGTGGACGAAGCGTCGCTTGAGAAGCAGGCACCCGAAAATGCAGCCAAGGAGAAGTCGCTGCAGACGCTTATCCGAATTCGAAAGGAAGCCTTCAGAGCATGCACAACACTGCCAAACCCTGCCTCACTTCCCCCACGCTCCATCATCAACGTCAACATCTCAATGCTCAGCCGGGGCGTCGCCACCGCCTGTGCCAGAATCTACCGCCTTCCATCTCGTCCTCAACCCGCCCTGCCAGCCTCATCAGTGGAGGTCCCGGCAACCGTCCCTCCCCCACCAAAGTCCATCAACGGCCTGCCGGCGGATCTGCGCAGCCAATGGCTCGCAACCCTCCCCACCACGCAGGCGAAGCCACCATCGAGTCAACAGCAGCGTCTGCCCCGGAACGCAGACCTGCAGACCCGCAAGAAGCTCCTCGCCCAGACGCTCGTGAGCGCCCCGCCCCCGGACGGCACGCAGCAGAAACCGAACCAGACAGACATGAACGGGCACCCGCTGGTGCCGAATGAGGACGACCTCATCGGCTTCGTCACGACGGGCGCGTACTCCCTTAGCGAGGGCAGAGCGACGGCCATAGGATGCCTCTCAGCCGAGAGAGCCGCAGAAGCTCTGAGGAAGGAGGGCAAGAGGGAAGGTCGGCTGTGCATCGTGCGAAATGCGGGGGAGAGCGTCGGATGGATTGCGCAGTGGGATGTACTGTGAGAGAACCCCGGCATCGTAGGCCACACATTGGGAGATTCTGCGTCTGGAACCTGCATCTGCGCGTGCAGCAAGATCAGCGCTTCCCGCTGCAGCTGTGAGGCGTGACGTAGAGGCGCGTGGGAGCTGCAGCGTCGCTAAGTACAGAAATCGCAAGGGCGCGATTGACCAGACGAAAGGCGGGTAGTAGATGTAGACTAAGGGATGTATACCCAATCAATATCCCGATAACAAACTTCACCCAGCATCACGAACCGCAATTTGAACGTTTAACTGCAAAGGCGACATAATGACATCAGAATTCCCCAAGCCAACTTCCATCACCGGCGGATGCCTTTGCGGCTCGATCCGCTACCGCGTCGACTTCCCTCTCACACACGACTTTATCTCGGCCGTGAGTTCTCGCCAGAGAATGGAATCCATCTGTTGTCTGACCTCTTCACGTAGTGCCAGACGTGCCAATGCACCCAATGCCGCCGGAGCACGGGGTCCCTCTTCTTCCCGATTCACATGGTGCCCAAGTCCGCCTTCGCCTTCCTCAAGTCCACACGACCCCCAACCCTGAAATCGTTCCGCGCCACGCCCGGGGCAGAGCGCTGTTTCTGCGGCGACTGCGGATCGTTCCTCTTCTGGCGGTCTGATGCCTCGGACACGATCGACCTGGCGGTCGGGTGCATTGACCCCGAGTATCTGTTCGGCGAGGAGCAGCGGGTCTCAGACAACACGGCCCGTGAAGCCGGCAGACAGGGGAAGAGGAATGAAGGCTTCGGGAGGGCGTTGGCTGGGGCGGTGACGCACATGTGGTGCGCCAACGAGATTGCGGGCGTCACTAACGGCATGCTGCAAGGCAAGAAGATGGAGCGGGACTCGAAGCACGGGGTGGTTCTGTACGAAGACTGAGTGCGAGATGGAAAAAAGATCAACAGGTAATTGTTTTGTAGACAAGAATACTAGTCTGTCTGAACAAACGCTGGTGGTATACTGCTTTGCGTGGGCAATGGGCTTTAGACAAGAGGCCGCCCCGAGATAAAAATAAACAAAACTCCTTTTTTGTGCCATGAAACGCCGTCATTATATCCCAGTCGGAGATTTACCGCTCCAGGTGTTGGTGATCCGCCACAAGATTCGTACGGGCTCTATCAGAATGTGATATCCCAGGTAATCACCTCAGTCTTCCTCACTGACCTCGCTCTCCTCCGCGTCGCCGCTGTTCGCAGCCTCCAGCTCCTTCTCCAACTCGGCTTCGAGATCGTCTTCAAGTGCGTCCTCAAAATCCGGCTCCGAGTCCATCTCCATCTGGTCGTGCTCGACCTCGACCTCCTCATGATGCTGCTGCTGCTGCTGCCGCACCTGGTTGTTGACGGGGCTGGGCAGGTTAAAGTCGGGGAACGGCACCTCATCATTGTCCGACTCGCCATCCGCATCGTCCGCCTCTGAGTCGCGCAGGAAGTCAGAGAAACGCCTAATATTGATACCCTGCGACGGGAACGCGGGCGAGAAGTCTGTCTTTTTGTTCTTGTTCTCGTCGGGGTACTCTATCGTCAGACCGAAATCATCATCGTCGTCGTCGTCTTCCTCGTCGGATCCCATGGCCTTGCGCGCGGGCTTCTCCTTCTTCGGCGTCGGCACAGCAGCGGGTTTCGGCGGCGGGGGCGCAGGCGCGTCATTTGTCGGGAGCGCGAGCTGAATGCTAACGGGTTCTTTCTTCTTCTGCTGCCGGGGTTTCGCGGGTGCTTTTGGCTTTGCTGCAGCTGCGGCCTTGGTCTTTGGCTTCGCCTGAGGCTTATCTTGGGCGGCAGAGGAGGAGGCATGGGGCTTGGCTGGTGTCGCGGTGATGGACGTGTCGAGCTGCTCGAACTGCTGGCGCAAGGTCTCCGGGTTGTCGTTTGAGGGCGTACGGGTAAGGTTCATGTGGAAGGTGGAATCGACCTTATCGAGGATGAAGGCTTTGCGGGCCGGATCGAAGTAGAGAATATATTGGTTGTCGTCCATTGTGCGAGTGCCAGCGTAGGCGTACGTTCCGCCATCGGCACCGGGAAAGGAGAGGTCAAAGTTGGATTTGGAGCCGGGCGTCTCGGGTTTAAGCCTTGCTGTCGCGGGCTCGGAGGGGAGATCAGGCTTGTGGTTATCTGTATTGAATGGCTGTGTCAGCATTCGTTCTGTGATCGCGAGACCAAGTCTGGTTGATTGGAGAGTTGGGAGGGCTACGTACATCGTACGGCGGTAAAGACGTCTTTCTGAGTGCGCCCGAGGAGCGTGTCGCTCAGGATGACGGGGTATTTCCCCGTCTTGGTCGGGTCGATGAGGCCATTCAAGGCACCACCCTTAGGGGCAGCCTTTTCCCTGTGGTTGGGGCGAAGAGCCGACATATTTTATGCGTCTAGCGTCTGTCGCAGGAGAAATCGCGGTCGTGAGGTGATGGTAGAGTTCGGGAGGAAGACGGAGGGCTGTCGATCGTATTGGAGAGTGGGGAGATGGGTCCTTGTAAGATACGGCGTACGCAGTGGAAGCGGGCTAGGGGGGTCCCTTCCCTCCGCTAAAGTCGCCTGCGAAGTTTAGAATGTTCCGTACGACGCTGCGGGCGGAATGGCCGAGACCGCTGGTAAGTTGCACCGCTAAGGCAGGTCGACTGGGATCTTGGCGGGAGAAAATATGGTGGACAATCAAGACGGATAAATGGTTCAAAATGCGATTTCTGGTATTGTTTCCGAGGTTGGAGAGAGATGAAGCACTCTGATGGTCGAGAAGGGTTGGGTACAGGCAGATGTGTTCACCGAATCACTGCCTCTCTCGTGCCTCATTTCGCCGCGCCTGTGCGTGTGAGACAAGCTGACGCCTCTGTGTCTTAATCAGCAACGACAACAATAATAATAACCTTTGGGGGCGTCTGAGCCTCCCGTCACTCTCATCCCATGATGAAGTGCGCTTACGCCATTCGGCCAGTTGAGTATGAACAGTCGGTCCATCAAGGTTGTGCTGTCATGGTCTTTGCATCCTTATTTGGTAAGTATTGCAACAACCTGATATTTGAAGACAGGCATAGAAGCAGATACTGCAGGAACGGATGTAGGAGGCTTACTAGGCAGGTATGGTGATGAAAAGCCGGTTCTCAACGCATATCCATTTCTCGTCGCGCAAAATAGACTTAAGAAGAGGACCAGTGAACAAACCCAATTCATGATTGGCACTCTGATGCCAGGAAAGCTATTTGTTTCGATATTTGGTTCTCTTACCGTCTCGTTGACAACAGAAGCCCATCGCGAACTGTTCTTTCCATGATGGAAACACGGTCTCGTGAGGCATCTCGCTGTTTACCAGCCCAAACTGTCCAATTGCTTGCCAAAATCTTACAACGCAGCCTTCAGCCCGTTAATTGACCTTGAAACGACTTACTCTGGCGTTAGTGAGTGTCTCTAGGCAGTACCTCATCTTAAAACGGGACTGTTGCAACGGCGCGATCTCCGTGAACAGAAGCAACGGCCCCAGATGGGCGATAAGATTGAGTTTATCTTCGCCTTATCACTTGCCCGCCGCTAGCCGAGGAGCCCGCCGGGTTTTACTCGGACGGAAGCTCCTCAGCAGGTGGTGCGGTACGGCCAGGGGTCTCAGCAGGACATGCCTCCCCACATTCCTCCCCCAACGTCGCCCACTGGTGCCCAGATTACCGTCAAAGCTCCCCCGCCCACGGCCCCAGGCAAGGGAGGAGAAGCACCCACGGGTGTCCATCGCAGTGCAGTGAAGCCCGCAGCGAGCTCCCCTCTGTTGTCATCATGGCAGGCCAGGGGTAAGCGCACACAACCTCGGATCAAGCTGCCACACAAGCTTCGGCAGAGAGCGGCAAACCGTTTCCCCTTCCACCTGAGCGAGACTGGACCTACCCGGAGACCACCCAGAAACAGCTCTCTACCTTGAGAAAATATATCTCCAATTCCTCTCCCTGAGAAAGCTTCTCCTCCCACCTCGATCCCCTCTTCCCCGGCAGCCTTGAGTGACCTCCATTGAGAGAAAGAGAGCGAGAGAGAGAACCTTGAGATTGGCACAGAACAAAGATACCCTTCCTCTCACAGTGGTATCTTGACCTTCTTTCATCTCACCTCCCAATCACAATCAATTGACCTGCATAATCTCCTCCCAGCTTGCGGTCATGTCTGCTGCGCTCAACCGAGGTCTCAGGACAGCTTCCCGATCGTTGCGTCTCCAATCGCGAAGCGTCCGTCTAGCTACTCCTCTCCGCGCCGGCGTCGCCTCCACTAACTTTGCCGCTTTTCCCACGACTCGCTCCGCTTCTCAACACTCCTCCAACTTTTCAACCGCATCTGCCAGACAGAGCGCTGCACCAGCCATGACTGAGGCACGAGAGTACGATCCCGAGATCAAGGACATTGCGTCCTACGTTCAAAACTACAAAGTCGACTCCGACCTTGCTGTGAGTATTCTTCGGTGCTCTTCTCAAAGCTCCTTGCCCGCCGACCCGCTCTATTGTTCCTACCCCGCGTCTCAGCCGGATCGCCGCCGCTAACCGCCACTCTCGTGAAAACAGTTCGACACAGCGCGATGGGTTTTCCTCGACACTCTGGGCTGCGGTCTTGAGGGCCTGCGGTTCAAGGAGTGCGCCAAGTTGCTGGGACCTATCGTCCCCGGCACCGTCGTCCCCAATGGCCCCAAGGTCCCTGGAACAGACTTCCAGCTCGACCCCGTCAACGCTGCTTTCAACATTGGTGCCATGATCCGCTGGCTCGACTACAACGACTGCTGGCTTGCTGCTGAATGGGGTCACCCTTCGGACAACCTGGGTGCCATCCTCGCTGTTGCCGATTGGATCACCCGCACCAACAAGGCTGGCGGTAACATTGCTGGTGGCAAGCAGTTCACCATCCGTGATGTTCTCGAGGGCATGATCAAGGCCCACGAGATTCAGGGCTGCCTGGCCCTCCTGAACTCGTACAACAGGGTCGGTCTGGACCACGTTGTTCTCGTCAAGGTTGCCAGCACTGCTGTTGTCTCCAAGATGCTCGGCCTCAACGAGAAGCAGATTGCCGACGCCGTCACCCAGGCCTGGGTTGACGGCCAGAGCTTGAGGACTTACCGCCACTCTCCCAACACCATGTCCCGCAAGTCCTGGGCTGCCGGTGATGCTTGCCAGCGTGCCGTCAACCTGGCCCTCAAGGTCATGAAGGGCGAGCAAGGCATCCCCACTGTCCTCTCCGCTCCCGTCTGGGGCTTCTACGATGTCCTCTTCAAGGGCAACAAGTTTGAGTTTCAGCGCCCCTACGGCAGCTATGTCATGGAGAACGTCCTCTTCAAGGTCTCCTACCCTGGTTAGTGTTACTGTGCCTTGTTGCTTCGACAGCACGACTGATCAAAAATAGCCGAGTTCCACTCCCAGACTGCTGTTGAGGCGTCATCCAAGATCCACCAAAAGCTTAAGTCGATGGGCAAGTCTGCCGCCGACATCAAGGGCGTCACCTGCCGCACGCACGAGGCCTGCATCCGCATTATCGACAAGCAGTTCAAGCCCATGGACAACTTCGCCGACCGTGACCACTGCATCCAGTACATGGCCTCTGTCATGCTCGTTTTCGGCCGTCTCGAGGCTACCGACTACGTCGACGGCAGCGAGGCTGCGACATCCCCCCTCGTCGAGTCTCTGCGCCAGAAGATCAAGTGCGTCGAAGACCCGCAGTACACCAAGGACTACCACGACCCCGCTCTCCGCACCATTTCCAACGCGTTGACGGTCGAGCTGAACGACGGAACCGTGCTCGAGGAGGTTGTCGTCGAGGCGCCTCTCGGACACCGCCTGAGAAGAGAGGAGGCGAAGCCTGAGATCCTGAAGAAGTACAAGAGACACTTGGAGCCTCACTTCGATGCTGCCAAGGTCAAGCAGCTTGTCGACCTTGGCTTGGACCCCAAGAAGCTGGAGGCCACTCCTGTGGATGAGTATGTTGACCTGTATGTCAACAAGAACAGCAAGTTCGTCTAGGTGTTTGCGATTGAAAAAGGAAATTGGATACTATAGATGTTATTTCTCTACAGGATCTAGATATGAAATATTAACGATTGGATGCTTGGCGCTTAAACTGGAGCCTATGTTGAAATGGAGTTTTGGTGCCACTGGGCAATAAGGCTGCAGCCAGTGCATTTGTCTGGCTGCCTACGAAGGAAATATACAATACGAGAACAAGAGCATGTTATCGGTCAAGGCGGCACGATTTAGTTCGTGGCTGACGAAAACACGCAGGAGACCTGCAGAACTCCCTCCCGACTCGGACAAGTGCTACTTTGAATGTCGAGAACCCGCGGGTCTCTGCAACACCGCCTTCCGGGATTCATCAAGGCATGATTGGCCGAGTCGTAAGGGAAACGATCGCCAAGCCCCGTTGCCTGAGCTGGACGGGCTGGGCGGGTTCGTCCAGTGGACAGTGGGCTCTGTCAGTGGATGATCCCCTAGGACGGGGGGACGGCTAGCTCGGTACGCGGATTGTTTTGAGTTTCACAGGCCAGACACTTCCGATATCCAGCATGCTGCAGGCCACTCAGGCAATGTGACTCTACCACGCTCAAAGTCCTAGACCTGTGTTACCTAATCCGCACTGCCACTCACTATCAGCTTGGCCCTCCACCAGAGCGCCACTTTAGTCCGTCTCGTCTCCTGTCGGGCTTTAACCGCAATCCGACATCTTTGTTTGTTCTGGAAACAACACTTTGCCTCCTGATTTTAGTAATCGGACCTCTTGTGCCGCTGACGACGATAAACCACACTGCTCGCTTTTCCAACCGCAAGCTCATCAGAAATACACGACCTCATTGCGCAACCCTGAAAGCCGGTCTTACTCAAGTGGGGTTATCCAGCAGGCAACATGGACAGACAGACAATCATCGAGACCAACCGGTCGCTGCGCACCATCAAGAATGTACGTCTCGCAACACTTGATCGTCGGTTTTGTGGAAAAGAGTGGAATGGCCTGAGAAAACCGGTTCGGCCTGTCTGAACCGTGTTTGACGCAAATTCATCCGCCATCCGCTTGCTCCGGGCGACATAAGAACCTTGACGACTGACCTTTTATCAGGAACTCGAGAACCTCCTCGAGAAGGGCGTAATCACCGAAGAAACCTACGACAACATCCACGCCACCCTTCCCTCCGAGACCCCTCTCCACGGCGCTGCTTCCCGTGCCGCTCCCAACGCCTCTACTCCCGTCCAGAACAACCCAACTGCTCCCCCGACCAACGCCATGGCCGCTCTCAATGTCCAGCCGACCGCCTCCCCGGCGCCGCCTTCTTACAACCAGACCGGCCCCCCGTCGCTCCCCTCCCGCACTCCGGAGAAGCCTATCCTTGCGCACGCCCGCGCGCTGTACCGTTACGCAGGTGCCGATGCCCGCGATGTCGCATTCGAGCGGGACGACCGCATCGCCATACACGAGTACATGAACCAGGACTGGTGGATGGGCAAGAACCTGCGCACCGGCCAGGAGGGTATCTTTCCCAAAACATACGTCCTTGTCGAGCAGGACTCGGCCAAGGGTGCCTTCGCCCCTCAGCCTTATGCTCCTCCGCAGGCCCAGTGGGCTCCTCAGCAGCCGCAATACGCCCCTCAGCAGCCGGTCTACGGACAGCCGCCGCAAGGCCCGCCGCCTCAGCAGAACCCGTACAATGCCGATGCGCCGCCCGCGGCTGTTGCCAACGAGCAGACCAACACCGAGGGCAGCGGTGGTGGCAAGGCCGGCGAGATGGGCAAGAAGTTTGGCAAGAAGCTCGGTAACGCGGCCATCTTTGGTGCTGGTGCAACCATCGGTTCCAACATCGTCAACAGCATCTTCTAGATGTGTTAGCTCGGTCGAAAATTGGTGTGAGCGGCAGTACAGCTTGCTGTCGAAGAACCTACCTTACTCAATTGTAGCTGTGGGAGGTTGATTTGTTTTTGTTTCCCCGGACGCACTTCCTTCAAGGTGCAACTTTGAACCGGGCACGGCCGCTTTTTCTTTTGGCTGGAGACTTTTCATTTTACCTTCCGGACGAGACTGCTGCACGGGAATTGCGCTTGGCACACTCATTCACATAAACTGGGTTGTCTAATGGGATCATGGGTTTCGGCGTTTATTGCATATCGGGTATTTCACTATCAAAAAATCATCAACATAACTACATCTCCTATCCTTGTGATGTGATGAGCGTGCCGCCTCGACTCGTTGCATCTGTTTCTAGTATTACATGGGCAGTTTCGTGTTAATTAGCCCATCGTATGACCTTACAGAGGAGGAAACCCTTCCGACCTTACGGGGCTGATTGGGTCTTGGAGACCAGGACATTGTCTCTTCGTCGAGAAGGGGTCCCTTGTGAACAGAAATCGCCTGCCCGCGCTTCACACACCCAATCATCGCCCAGGCCTCGGGAGAACGTCGTCTGAGTGGTTCAGCGTGTACACACACATACGCTTGACACAGAACACCATCACCTCTCTCACAATATTCATACTGCGTAACGCGGAACCGCAGAGCCTAGTGCATCCGAAACGTCTCCTTCCCCCTCCCCAATTCTGTCACCTCGGTTCGAGCCGGACGGTTGAAGATGTCATGTTCCAAATTATACAATCATCCCCGTGGGGAAAAGGATCCGTCACGGGGAGACTGATTAACTGGACAGATCCAGACACATCATCCAGACACAGAAGCAAGTTCACCAATACGGCCAGTTTTTCTCTGTGTTCTTTGTCGTTGCCCTGACTGCCGCTATGGCCGTTTGTCGTCTCATCCTAGCCATATGCATAACATTCAAAAGATCCGTGGGAAGAACAATAGGCAATAATCCGCCGACATTGCAATAGAGCTTGAAAACGTACTGCGTAGACAACGCATACCTATAGGACGGACGAAGCGGCAACTTCCATCGCCTCGCCCAGTGAAGTCCCCGGAAAACTGTATCGTGCAGAGGGCCACACATAACTTTACCAAAAGCTCGGGGCTCGGTGCAGCGACAATACCGCGCCAGCCATTTTATGCGTTTTCCATGGCACGGAAACTTTTCGATGGGATTATGCTTACAAGTTTTTCTTCATAGAGAGGAACTCGGACAGAGCGGGGAGTTTAGGGGAAGTTGTGGCATGCCGTCGCTTTGCTTTGCCTCGTCGGCATACACATTGCTCCCCCATCCGAGCGCCCTCGTAGGAATCGGTGTTGTTGTTAAATCTCCTCCCCCGCGCTCTCCACAGATGACCTTGGGAGAACATGGGTTAGCCTTGCAGTGTCCACGGCATGAATTCTCATGGACTAGTTGGGGGGAGTCCTTGGCATTTTGCTGGTTATATTCTTAGACTTTGAGCTACCGAGGCTGCGGACGAACATGTGCTGCTTTGGGTTGGGCGAGACGCTGATCCCCCACCCCCCACCACCTTTCTCAAGGGCGGGGAGGGCGCCGATGTCTAACTCAGCTCTACCGCCGTAGTCGTTTGGATACTGGATTGGCGCGGCAGATGGAGGTGAGTTTGTGGCTGGATCTTTTTTTGGGTGGAGGCGAATGCAAGTACGAGATAACATGGCAACTACCGCGTTACATGAGATCATGACAGAGCTCTAGATTGGCGTTGAGTAGGGGTGGTTAATTTCGCTCTCAATATAGGGTCTTTGGGAGGGGCGGTTCGTGGTTGGAGTTGGCTTCAAACCTTGCCGCGTCGTCGGTATTCGGAGTGTTCGTTGATGTATCGCAAACATGAGTTCCTTTACTTAGGCCAGAGACTGGATGAGCTGATAAATTCAGATCTCGGTGTTCGCATCGTCGGTATTCCGAGGATGATTCTCACGTCACCTCCATGTTCACGGGGGAGAAAAGTAAAAGAAAGTTGGTTCATGTTGTCTGAGCCCAAATCATCGCAACAGCCGTGTCTGCAGGTATCTTAGAGCACACGACCATCGTGAAAAGATGGGCCGGTAAATAAGGGTATCGCTACAAACGCGCGTACAGCACAAAGCCTATAGGCGTCGTGAACGATCTTGAATTTCCCCTTCCACCATCGAAGACATGAAGGCAGCGAAAAACCCGAAGACCCAGCCGCTTCAAGCAGCCGAACTGCCGCGTTCATTCGCCTACTCTGTTCCCCCCGTCAAATCATTAGAGGGACTTCAGACCGGACCTGAATCCCTCCTCGAAAAGCCCCGTAATGTACACCCTTCCGGCTGAAATGAAACCCTTTGCCCCCAGCTCGAAGTAGCTTCTCTCCTCTCCTGTTTTGTCACTCCGCATACAGCCATGAGATGCGTGCCCAACGCCGGAAGTTCTCTCCCGTGACCAACTTGTGCCAATCTGTACTGTCAAATCTGTCGTTTCTTGAAACCTCCCCCTTTTTCTGGAGTTTGTGTGATTTGATGGGGTAGTTTCATTTCTCTACATCGGCCTGGCGACACCAATGGGAGTACCTGAAAGGGGAGAAAGATTCTCATCAGCACTTTTTGCCCCTGTACGTGTCCCGGTGCAACACAAGATCAGATAGCCCTACCCAACTTCTCGTCCTGCCACTGCGGCTTGTCATTGTTCCAGTACTGGTCGTCGTCGTCGATGACCTTTGCAGGCATCGTGGGCTCGAGACGGCCGGCGGTCCACGCGCGGATCGGCTTGCCGTACTTGTACATGACGGGGAGTAGCATTGAAATGCCAGCAAGAGCGGCGCTGTAAATTCCAAAGTTCTTGAGGAAGCCAAGATCTTCGATCCAAGTTGTGACGTTGAAAGACATGATGAAACCGATGATAAGGCGAGCGGAGGAGACGTTGACCAAAACGGGACTGTATAAGCACATTTGTTAGCACGTGGATACTCGATACATGGCAGAGGGACAACTCGAATCATCCCGAGCATAATGACGCACCCAGCGAATTGAGGATAACTCTCAACCAAGTAGACGGCAAAGATGGTGTTGGCAGTCAAAAGACCGAAACCAATCAAGAAGATGGAAACCAGCACGACAATCGAAGGCAGCGTTCTAATGTTTTCGGCCGCATAACCAAATAGCAAAGGTCCGACGATGGAGGCCAAGAGGGGGAACACCAAGCTGACGAGATGACCCTCGGGCTCGCGACGACCACCGTTGCGCTTCGCAAGGAAGTTGGAAATCCAATCTGCGACATAACCGCCAAAGAACCAGACGAACGGCGATGCAATGACGATAGGAATGACGGCGAAACCGAGCGTCTCGAACTTCCAGCCGGCAGCGATGAGAATAGACGAGCCGACCTGGCCGGCAGCACCTTGCAGAGACACGAGAATGGAATTGATCATGATGACCCAGATAATGTTGGGGAAGACAGTAGTCTTGAGCATGTCCCAGACGGACTGCTTGGCGGCCTTCCACTCATAGCCGTAGTTCATAATGCCGAACTCGTCCCAGTTGGAGCGGGGGCGGAAGGCGGACTCGTCGATGCGCGGGCGGGTTTCACCGGGACGAAGAGGGTAAACCTCCTTTCCGGCTGCATCTTGTTAGTGCTTTTCATGATCAAGGAGTCAAGTTTGCTTACCAAGTTCGTCGTTGCTGCGAATCCAGCGGGTCTCGGGAACGAGGAGGATCAGGCCAATCCAGGCAATCACACCAACACCAGAAGTGATCCAGTAAATAAAGCGCCAGGTGAGGCGGGAGACGATGATGGGAGACATGATACCCAAGCTGACGATCAGGAGACCCTGAGAGGCTCCGACGGAGGCAATGGCCTTGTTTCGCTGGTGGATAAACATCATATCCTGGATGATGAGAGGAATCAAAGCCTCAACGGCACCGGCGCCGAAACCCTGGAAGCAACGCGCAGCTAGATGGCTGGGGAGGCCCTGAGAGAAACCAGCCCAGAGACCACCAGTCCACGCGAGGAAGCCAGAAAGAAGCAGCACGGGCCGGCGACCGATGGCGATCGACAGCGGCACCAGGATGTAGGAGCTGAGACCGTTGACGAGCAGCGGCACCGAGGCGAGCAGGGAAACCTGCCACAGCGGGGGGCCGCCGAGACCCGCGAGAATCTTGACGGGGTCGAGGGCGATTTCACCCGGCTTGTTCAAGGCGCTGATATCGATCTGTGAAAGAATGTGGGGGTCGATGCCGGAGTACTCAAGCACGAACACGGGCACCAAGGCGCCGACGATGATCTCAGCAGCCAGGGCGAGAGAACCAACTGTTGAGGATTAGCGTCTGGGCAGTAGATGGCAGCTCATGGCGACCTACAGAAGCAGAGCGCTCCAATGGATGTCCATTTCCTCCAGTTCGGCAAGTTCAAAGGATCTGTTACCCCATCGTGTTAGCATCAGTGTCGCGTAATCGCCATCATCCTTGTCTTCCACGCTCGACATCGCAAACTAACCCTTCGGATCCGGCGTGGGCATCGGAACATATCGAATGACTCCTCCCTCGAACAACTGCGTCGTTCCAACCACCTGGGCGTCGGGGGACTCGATCCTGCGCACGGCAAGATTCTCCGTTGACTCGGTCCAGCCGCTCTTTGCCGCCATCTTGAAGGTCCTGTCCAAGGCACTCTGTCAAAGACGGGGTTTTCGAAAGTCGTCGTGTGTAAGACGGAGTCCGTAACCAAGAGTGAAAGACGATCTATTTCCTTTTCGCTAATAAAATCATTCGCATCGAAACCAGTCGCTTTCGTATTCCTCCCGGCGGAATGTTGATATGTTCTGTCGGTCTACCCAGAACAGGAAACGAGGTATCCCAAAAGTAATATCCTTCGAGGGGGGTTTGGAATTATAATTGATGCATTGCCCGCTTGGTCTTGGGTGCCGTGCGTGACAGACAGTTGGCAGGCGCGAGGTGCGAGCGCTCTGTCATAGGCTGGCCGCGGTTAGACGAGCAGCCTAATCTGAGACGAAGGCCCGATGTGTGCAACTGCGCAACTGTTTGAGCGCACGGAGCACTTGTATGGGGGTTGAGGAGGGGATAGACTCGAAGCATTGCCTCTTTGGTCAACTCATGCGGTGAGTTGAGGGGGGATGATGATGTGTGGGTGGGCAGACAAGGCATCGGATCGACTTGATCCTGGTATCACATCCATGGTGAAGGAACCCCCTTTTGGGTAATATGCTATCCTGGTTTCTTGATTGGTAACACTCGGATAACTCTGAGGGAATACGACTCTGTTCCTCTTGTCCCACAGAAACAAGCAAACAAGAGTATGGAGCCCGAGTCGATCACCCCGCCGAAGCCGTGCAAACCAAACAAGTCCATTTCCGTCTCTGTGAGCGTGTCTGTAAGAAATATTAGCAAATCTTGGAGTTAACACGAGCGTAGGTGCCCGAAAGAGAAAGTCAACTCGTCGCATCGGCCAACAGGAGGCACGTATGACACAATTCGCTCCAGTTTCGAGGATGAATGCTACCCAAAAGGGGCATAAAGCTACCCATCTTTTCGCCTCTGGGCAGAGAAAGGCTCTGTTGATCGGCTCAACACTGCAAAAGGCCCGGCCTTGCGAGCAACAATGGCGAGATGGGACGGCAACAGAATGACGGCGGCGTCGACCACTTGGCCGGCACCAGTACCGCCACAATCCCACTCTTGTAAAACCCTCAGATACGGCAAAGGGTTTTGAGTTGTTGCGATGGAGGGGTGCGAAGACCTCATATTGGTGCGAGCTGAAACACCAACAAGATAGTCTATGCAAGGTCAACCCTTGTCCTCCCGCCTTGAGCCTCAAGGAGTCCACCCCGGGAGGGGCGGCAACCTACTGCAGACCAACCGTAGTCCAGCGCTCGGAGAATTCAACCACCTTGAGCTAATTTCAACAAACCGATCAGCTCTTAACCCTTTCCATATACCCCATATTCTTCGACTGAGGTTATGGAACAAAGCCCCATGAAGTGACCGCCGGCGTGCATTCGCCTTGGCACAATCGTCAACATTCTCAACTCCACGCCGGCCGAAGAGTCAGTCGTCTGCGGCGATGCGACGCCAAGTCTTCTGCTCACCCGTCACTGATCTTCCAAACGTGCTTCGACGATCCATCACACACGTCGCTTAGAGCGCGCGTGGACCACACTTCTCATCCGCAGTCGCGGCGCCGCCACACTCGGCCCGCTTTCACAAGCTGCCGTTCTTGGGACGAGCCTCGGGCGAAATCTTCAAATTCCAAAAGCCAACCCAACAGGTAGGCAGGTGGCTGGTGCGCCTGCTACCGTCGGGTTTGACTCGGGTGCCGGCTGCGTATTACTCAGGTTCGCGAGGTGATTTGCAACAATCGATTCCCGGAAATAACAAGATGTGAAATAAAATCGTCCATTCGTCTCTGGTCTTGTCTCGTTCGCTAACCGGCACTATATCATCCGCCCGTCCTGTGTCATGAGATTCTCCCATCCGTCCGTAATCGTAAATAGGGCGCCATGGAAAGTCCCATCGCTTTCCAGCATGGCTATTCAAGTAAAGTCCAGCACCAAATGCTGCTAATGCAGATCAAAACCAATGAGTATTTCCATGCCTGGTATAGTCCAAGACCGCTAAACTCCGGTGAACACCTTATCCCAAGGTATCTGTGTGCCCCCCAAAAAAAAGGAAAGTGTGAACGCAAAGAAAGCTCGGTGCAAGTAATGCCGTGAGAATTCAAAAGCAAGCGTCAATCCGCATCGGTGTGGGCAAAGTTAATCCTCACTCGCCGGGGAGTCAGGGAGCGATGCCAAAATCTCGTCCTGCGTCTCCGTGTCGTCGGGCCAAGCTGGCAAATCCAAAGACGCGTACTGGTCTTTGGTCTGCTCCTCGAGCTCTTTTCGGAGAATCTCAATCGCTAGTAGCCAACGCCGTTGCAATCTCTGCTTGCGGTCATTAAAAGTTCTGACCAGGGTATCTTCTTCTTGCGCAAAATCCGTTGCCAGATTCTCTATCTCCTGCTCTTTCTTATCCGTCAGCTTCTCAAGCTCCTGCTCCTGGCGTTCCAGAAGCTCTTCCATTCGCTTAGCCTGCCGATCTCGTAGGACATTAATCTTCGCTTGATGCAGTCGCTCCATGCCGTCTCGTACGTTGTACTGTTGTCCCAGCAAACGCAAGTCTCTCTCGGTGACAACTCTCGGCGGTAAGTCCGAGTTTTGGGTTCGGCCGAGTCCATCGCAGTATGCCTCCATGTGCTTCAAACGGATCTTGACGCTTTTCTCGCTCTGGTCTAGCGTTGATCTCAGGTCCATCTCGGCCTCAATTTGTCGTTCCTCAAGATGAGCCGCCGTTTTGGCATGGCGTTCCTTCATCTTCTCGATCAGATCCGAGTACCTGTCAACGATCGCTTGCTTCTTTTCCGCTTGTCGAGTCCACATGTGCCACTTCGTTTTCCGCATGTAAACACGGAATCGTTCCAACTCTTCCGCCATCAATTCATCCAATTTGGCGAATTGTGGGCTGCCTCGTGTGCGCTTTTCCGCCTCGACTTTCTCTGCCGCTTCGGCAGCCGCAGCAGCTTCTTGGGCTGCCTTCTCTGCCTCCAGCTCGGCTTCCCTAGCCTCTTCCTCCATCCTTCGCCGCTCTAGCTCCTCGTCCCCGTTGCAAAAGTTGGGGCAGCCTACCGACGGGTCCCAGATGGCGCCGCAAATGTAGCAAAATTGAGCCTTGCACCTGCACGTCATGTGAGTACAGCCCTGGCTCAGTTCGACCAATGACCGGCACTTGTAACATCTTCTCCAGCCCGACTTTTCACCCATCTTCAACACGGCTTCCAGTTCCCAGTCCGACGGACAGTCCTTTCCGATGGCGTGTGCGTTCCGTTTGCACATTATGCAAACTCTGGTTCGGCACTTTCGGCAGACGACATCGAAGGGGTGTTTGGGATCGATTCGGTTTCGGGGAGGAATGAATTCACCGCATGCTGTGTTTGGGCAGAAGACTCTAGCTTCCCAGGGAGTGCTGAATTGTAACACCGCCTTCAAAAACGCATGCTGCTCCTCTCGGGTGAGTATCTTCTGGATGATGGACCCCGGAATGGGTTGGGTGCAGCATCGCGGCGGCATCTTGGACTCGTCTGTCGTCGCTTGCTGGATCATGATGCTGAGGCAGTCGGCGCAGTATGTGTGGCCGCAGGGCAAGCTGTGCAGATCACTCGGCTTGTTGAATTCGTTGCGACAGCATATACAAGAACTGGCTTGGTGTTAGCGGGTGAAATTTCATATCAGAACATGCCGTTGCCCTTACATTGTAGACTCCATGAGGGCGGACCGCCTCTTCCATCGAATCTTCCTAATGCCCTCTTTTATACTGAAGTAGCTCCTCCTCGTGGACACGCTGAATAGGCTGTGCGTAGATGGATCAAGGGCGGCTGGAGGCGGCGCCTTCTGGATCTTGGGTTGGTGGATGTTAGGGTCCAACTGTGACAGGTACTTGTCGTAGTGCGAGAAAGTGAGGCTCTTGGATCTCTTCCTTGCCAGCGAGTTTGGCGGCACGTCGGTGGCAGCGGTGATTGGAGTCGGGTTGAGAGAGGGATGGGAGGTCAAGGTGGTGCTCGCAGAATCGCGCGAGGCGGTGGAAAAGGTGCGTACATGCTGGGTCGCAACCGTTGAAGCTCGCGACTCGGGGCCTGCATCGATATTGTCTGGCGTAAGTCCTGAAGTAGATATGCCGAGTGCCGTGGCCTTCGCGACTAGTTCTTCGTCGATGGCGGCCTCGGTGGTTTGGGTAGACAGTCGCAGGACTTGGTCAAGATAGTCTGCCTCATCGTCCTCGGGGGACGGCAGGGCAGCCGGGCTAGGGGCCATGTCGGGAGTCGAGCTCGTCTGGCCGGTGAGCGAGCCCATGGCGGGTTGCGGGGGGCTGAAGAAGTAAAATGGTCAAGTCAGGGCAGCGCAAGCAGCGGCATCGTGGTTCGGGACTCGGTGTGGTTCGCAGGTCTCCGGGCCACGCCGGCCGGTCAAGCAGGTGAATGACGAGGGCACACGACTAATTGTCGATTAATGCGCAGTGGTTTTGAAACGGCAGTTGCAAGTAGTGACTTGACATCGAACGGATCGAGGGGGAGCCGGAGAAAGGATGAACCCACGAGGGGACAGCGGCAATGATAGGACGAGAGGTCAGCCAAGGTTTCTGCGCGATGGCGGACAAAGGCGGGCAGGCAAGGAGGGCCCAAGGTGGGAAGGAAAGCACCCCCAAGGCTGGCTTGTCTTGTCTTGTCTTGTGGTGTGAAGGTCGGGTCGGATGCAGGTGCAGCAGGTGCAAGTGCAGGGCGGAAGGACGACGGGTGACCTGCGAGTGAACTTTTGATTTTGGGGTGTGTGAGTTGGAGTAGGAGAAGAAGAGCGAATTGGGATGCGGCCTGGACCGTGGGCGTGTCTGACGGATGGAATGATGCAAGGTTTCTGGCGAAAGATGAGGTGGGGTGGCTGAGAGGAGGAGAAGAGTGCGAGTGTGCGACTTGCAGCGCGGTCAGAAGAGGGTCGAGTCAAAGGGCGGTTGACGGCAGGGCGAAAGCGCGGTTCTTGGGGACCCTTGAGAATGACGAGGGGGCGACAGGCTAGACCAGGGCGGGGGTTCAAGTAGCGATTGAGTAGCAGCCGGGTATCATCTGAATGGCGGGTTGATGAGGGGCGACGACGATGGTCGATGAAGGGTGTGAAAAACACACAAAGAAAGTGAGAAACACGTCCAACGTCCCGACTGAAAGGACGAGAAAGGGTTGGGAGGCGAAGAGTGTGTGCGCGTGTGTAGATGGCCACCAGCAAGCGGATGAATGATGGAAGGAGGGCGGGAGAGAGAGAGGAAATAAGTTCGAGAACGGCGGGACAGTGAGGAAGCAACCTCCTCGATCGAAACTGGGGTCAACGACGAAGTGGGTATTGCGGGCTTCGTTTTCTTTGCTTATTGTGCAGCAATTTTGCTTCTTGTTGCTGTCGAGTCCCCAGGAAGCGCCGGGTGCAGGTGGGACTGTGTGATTTGGACTTGATTGTTATTCGTAGTCGGCTGATGTTGAAGAGGAAAGAAATCCTTGGTTGGTGGTCTACTGCGTACCGTATCCGTAGGGGCACTGGGGGTCGTCGTTGGCCGTTGGCGTTGGGCCCTTGCTGAAGATCCCAAGTGGATGGGGACAGCAAACCGGTGCGGGCTCAGACAGCTAAGTCAGAACTGACCAAAACGCCGATGATGGTGGAGAAGGGTGACGGGAGGACAAGGGCACCACCGATGGCAACCTCCTTCCTGGCGTGCTGGCCTGCGATGAAGGATGGTGGAGGGCGATAGCAACGCTGAGCAGGGCAAAAAAGAAAGCACATGTGTTTGGGTGTGGTTTGAAGGGCAGGACAGCGCAGAGCAGAGTACTGCATAGTAGAGCAGCAAGCAGAGAGAGGTGAGTGAGGCGTGATCTCTCTTGCTTGGTGGTTTCCCACCTTCCCTGCCTTAAGCAAGGTGCTAAGGCACCGTCTGAGAAATGACAAAGATGGGCAACTCCTCCGAAGAACTTTTGGGATTGGTGTTTCCTGCCGCTGGCGCCACATCTGATGACCTGATTTCCATTTCCTGCATAGCCGGCCAGGCGGGCTCAAGTGGCGGCACCGGCCAATGCGTGGAGGCGTTGCGCCGCGAGATACGCGACGTGAGACTGAGTTCGAGTATCCTTTTGCCGGTGGCCCCATACAGGAGGTACAAGGCCGTCTCGTCTTAGATATCTAGGCACCCAGGGAGGACCAGACCGGCGCTGTCACAGCTAAGGGAAGGTACGTACCGCCCCCGTACCTAGTAAGGCAGGAGGAGACTTGGGTGGAGGTGGACGATTGTCCTTTAGCTGAGGGACACTACTCGTGCCTAGGTAGGTACCTGAGGTGAGGTATCTAATAGATGTGTGGAAAGAACACACCAAGGGACACTTACCTGAGATGCTGGCCTTTCTCTTCTTGCCTGATGTAAGCTGGAGGCACCTAAGAAAGATTGCAGCGAGGTGGTCCAGTCCGTCTGAGGTACATTGCAGTTGCAATGCGCCGTGCATGCAGATACAATGGACACGCTCTGCTTTGTGTTATGTCACCCGCAGCGCTTTCCTTGCTTGGCCAAATCACCCAAGCGACTTGCAGAAACGAAGCTGCCGTCAGACATGCAAAAGGTAGATTTGCATCTCATGCTTGCCTTGCCTGTCCGTCTCTTTCTAATCTGCTTTGTATCTAGACTTTTCTTCCGCACCTCCATGTCGACCACCTATTCCTGACTTAGTACCTGACGGCGGCACAAACACAAACGGAACACCACCACCACCACCTATTGTATGTCGACCTGAATTAAGCGCCGCCGTCGGTGGGCCAATTTACACTGCCTTTCCACCAACACTGCCTATCGCGGGAGGCTGCCGATAACACGATGGCCCAGTCCGATTCCAGCTGCCCTTGCCCCGTCCATCTCATGCCCGAATCCCCATCAACATCCCCCATTTTCAAGGCCCCATCTAAAGTCCCCTGTCCCGGACACACAGACGCCCGGCGGTGAAGCAAACACGACGTCTGTTGTCTCCAGCACCCAGGTTTCTGAATCACCCAAATCTCGATGCTGATTACGGATACCTTGGTTCGTTTGCATCTCGGGTCACTTGCACCGCCCATCTTCCCCTGACCCTGTTCCCCGCCCCAGGCTCCTCGACGTTATTGTCTTGCTTTGCGGTTGCTGACAGCATATCGGTCCAGGATTCCAGACCTGATCCCAGGCCCACGTCTCTTCCCGCACGGGTGGACGGGGACAATCCGCGACCGGGCCACCAGCCTCAGCGCTAGATGTTTCCCGCATTTCTGCGGTTACTGACGTCCGGTCTCTCCTCAAACAGAAGCAATGGCAACCTCTCCTGCCATGCTACCTACCTTACAACCGACGAAGGGCTCCGACTGAAAGCACAATAACAATAGTACGTAAACATCAGCCCACTTCCCCAAGAAAGCCCCATCCCAGTCCCGCGCGACTGGGGTCTAGCTATATGCGAATAGCTAAGCCTCATCCTCAATCTCCTACCCCTTCTGTTTCTCATCTCTCACGGATGTCCGCATACGCCGTCAATATTTGCGGTAATTGGCCATCTTCGTGGCCAACATTGGCTTATAGACTACCCGCGTTTACGACGCCGGGAAGCACTCGAATTCTGTATGGATTCACAGCTGCGCAGTGACAATGCCATTCCCCTAAGGAACCTCGATGTTCAATGTGTTGCACGTCAAGTCCTGGCCCCTCAGTCTCCAAAAGCTACTTGGATGCTACATTCAAAACCTACAGCTATCAACTGCTCGCCACTTAAGCTTTGAAAATGTCCGTGAGACCTATAGGATCGATAATAAGGCCGGCCGATGGCTCAAGCTCCCACGTTGCTCTTCAGCCATTTACAAACACTCTTATTGAGGTCATGACTCTGGCCTTCTTCCCCCATTCGTCGTGCGGCACTCCATCTTGACTCAAGATAATAGATCCCCGAACCCCGCAAACCAACTCAGCTCATTTATTCTCCCCCCAACTCTATGGAGCTTGTCTAGGTCAACGCTTTTCTCTGTTTGCCATGTTCAGCATGCTCCCATCGGGAACCATTTTACGCCCTCTAGAGCACTAGTGGGGCACGTTCCCGTCCGGCCCCACGCCGGCCGACGTGTCTCCGCTGTCAACTCCGGGCCCCGTCTGTGGACCACCAGCAACAGTGGTCTAGACACTGGATTGAACCAAACTTCATGTTGTTGTGTTCACGCTTGGGCTCCCACGGAGAACGCCGTATGGCGCAATGATGTCAGCCCTAGGCCGTGCGTACAATCATGGCAACCGTATCCGTTGGAAGCAGTTTGTGCAGCTGGGCGTCGTCCCCCTTGGGGCCTCAGGCATTGCAGCTATCAACATTGTGTCAACAATCATTCCAGCCCTTTCGATTTTGAGTTGGTGTAACGAAATAAAAGTTGGCTGATGATCTACCTTAGTAGGTCTTAGAACCCGATAGCCTCACTGGCGGACCAACCGGAACTCTGGTGTGCTGGGCTGCGGAGCTCTGTTGCTATGAAGCCCGGACCAGACGCTGACGACGTAGGAGCTACGGAGTTGCGGTGCAAGGAGCTTTGGTGTTTCTGCCAAACCCCGCTGAATCCTTCGGGTTTGCTTGGAACTTACAGCTCAACCTTCAGCAAATCATGCAATCAGAGTGAAGAGCTCAAGCTCTATTTCCGAGCTCCCGAGCTCCCGAGCTCTCGTGCTCGTACGACTTGGACGATGGTTTGCAGCGGCAGCGGCGCCAGCGGACTGGACATGAATCCCAAGACTCAAAAAGACCTGGCAGTGTACTTGCTAAATCGGTTGATCTCTAGGCATGCAAGCGATTGTGAATGGATATCATGGTTTGGACGTTTCGCTCTCGGATTCCATGACGACACGAGCACCTCGTGGCCATCCTGCACGCTGGAGCAAGAAAGCGGCACGGTGCCTTGAGAAACGCTCACTCGAGTGGTCTGGCCAATGTTTGACTTTGGCGCGGCGGCCGGGCTATCCCCTCAACGGGCGAACCTGGAATGAAGTACAGACGAAAGATGCTCGGTTGGCAGGGTCATCTCCAGCAGAGAGGCAGAACCGACGTTTCTCGGGAGCTAGAGACAAATTAGGCTGCTGAGATATCGTTGGCCTCTTTCTCGCCCTGTCCGTGAACCTCAATGAGGTGTCCATCACGATCTAACCTCGTGACATTGACCCGGACCAACGGCGATACTCGGCATCGTCTTCTGCCGGGTAGTTGCTTTTCTGGAAAAGCTTTGCTAATGAGTATGCTCAAGTAAACGATGACCAATTCAGTTGAGGTTTATCACGTCTTTTGTGTAAAGCCATGCTCTTGGACCTCAAGTCCATCGACGCAAATGACAGGGCAACAATGCAAGAGGTCTGTCTTTCACCGAACCTGAATGGCATCAACGCCCGAAAAGAAGTGCACACCTACAACGCCATCAGAAGTGATGCAACAGACCGCCACTTTCTAGCTGCCGGCAAGCTCAAGCCAATCGAATGGCATCATCGCCAACCGCCGGCGCAGCGAGTCAGTCAGGTGCAGCAGCAGCAGTAGAAACACCACGTCCTGAGGGCCAGGGCAAGGGGTCGAAGATGTTAGGACCAATTCGAAAAGCAAGGCACACCAAAAATCTCTCTTTCGCTACCTTCTCCTCTGCCAGTAGGAAACCTTGGAGTCATCTCCGTCGGCCGATACAGCCGCGCTTGCCTCGAGAAGCTCTGGCCTGCTTTTGCAACCATCCCCACGATCAGCGCGCGCCATGCCATGCGGCCAACGATCTCGCATGCCAGTGCACCCATCGCCTCATTCTCGTTTCTCCTCCCAACGTCTTTGGCGAGACACTGGTAACCTGGCTGGCTGTCTTCCCGAAGCCCCAAGTGGTCTGAAAATAGCATAAGCTAGTCTTGAAAGCCTCTAAAAACATGTCTCAGAAAGAACAGGAGAAAAAAGAAGACTTCACATTCCGAATAAGACGCGGACGAACCGCGGGGTAAGCAAGCGAGAAAGAAAAGAAGAGCCCTTTCGTCAGAAAAATGGTTCGTTGTTTGAAACAAAAAGAAACAAGGGTAGGGGGGGCCGGAAGAGCGTTTCCCTTCCTTGTTGTCTCTGCGCAGCACAAAGCCGAACACCGATTGTGACGTTTTCGGAACCTCAGCCTGACTATCAACTTACCATCAGTCAAAGAAGGTAGTCCACCCCACAGAGAGAGGACAAAAGACGCAACTAGGAAAGGTTTAAGCTTCAGCATTTAGCCGGACCGAGTAGTCGCAGCCGCCACGGCGTGTAGTGGAAGGTTGCTGTGTGCCCATCTCGAATCTGAGAGATCCTGCGACCCCTCAACGCGCGAAGTAAGTAGTTGGTTCGGCGCGTGAAAGTATCCAATCAGATCGGACCAATAGATAAATAAAATTGGTGTCAAGTCACTGTTGAGAAAGGTCAAATGAGACTCTATAACCGAGGTTTTCCTTCTTTTCGTTCTATTTGGAGGGGGTATAACTTGAAGTGGTTGAAAAGTCTGTATCATACAGGCATGCGCGTTTAAACTCCTGACAATGAGATGAGAAGATGATGGGCCCCCCTGGGGAGTGTATGTACAGTACGATACAATAATGATGTACACTGATTTACAAGAAACGAGGCGGGAGGGGGAGAGAGAAGGAAGCGTTGGAGATGTTCGTCAGCGCTTGTCGTCGGCGGCTCCTTTTCTCTTCCCTCAAAGCAGCGGCTGTTTTGCCTCTCCCTCTTCCGGAACGCCGTGGCCCACTCCGTCGAAAGGTTGTCTTGCGCCGATCCCGAATCACGCGAATCCTTCGGTGGCTCGAGTACAAGGGGCGCTTGGCTTTTGAGCACGGGACAGCAAAGCTACGACATCGCCCCCACACGTTTACTGGAACCACGACTTCTTGGCGGCCGTTTTGGAGCTGGCAGCGGCTGCCTTCTGGTTTGTCACCCGTCTGAACTTTTCGCGATTCCGGGCCTCGAGAAGGCCAACGGCGCCATCGTCCTGGAACCAGTGCTGGCTTCCGCCGCGGCTGGCTGGGCCGCTGGCGCCAGCGTTGCGGGTGGTCAGGGGTCCGCGCTCGTCAAACATCATCTTGACGCGCTGGACCTTGCGGAGCTTGACGAGACCGTACCAGCAGACGAGGAGGGAGAAGCCGCAGGAGATGGCGGTGACGCCCGCGAAGCCCCAGCTCGTCTCCTCGATGAAGTTTTCGAGGTTCATGCCGTAGAGGCCCGCGAGGAAGGTGCCCATGGCGAGGCCGAGGGTGCCTACGGAGAACTTGAGATCGAGCAACATGAGGGAGTTGCGGTTTGCGTCCAGGATGGCGCGGATACTGGGCGGAGAGTTAGCAAATGTGGCGTTTGATTCAAAGGGGTTTTGGTTCACTTACATCTCCTCGGTGTTGCGGATGCTGGAAACCAAGTTCTGGGCCTCCTGGACGATTTCGTCGCAAAGCTTGTTGTACGACTCCAAGAGCAGCTCGACTTCCGTGTGGTCGTCCACGCCGCGGTACAGATCGTGCGCCTTCTCGGTTAGGTACATGGCCGCGAGATCGTCGTCAGCCTCCAGCAGCTCCTCGATGGCGTCCCTCACGAGCTTGGCCTTCTGCTCAAAGGTGCTCACCCGCTTCGAGAGGATGAGAAGGATACGCAGCTTGTGCCGGTCGATGTCGTCCTCCAGCTCGCTGAGGACACGGATGACGGGGTCTCTGACCGATTCAAAGTCGGCTTCCAGCTCCGAGGTGACGGATGTCAAGACGGCTTCGAGAGCGCGGAATTCGTAGGGCAGGCCGTTGACGCCGCCGTGCGCCTGCTTTTGCTTCAGTTTGCCTTGCAGATCGTACATGAAGGCCGACTGCGGGTACGAGGTCTTGGAGCCGTATACATCGAAGAGCAGCACGCGGTCCTTCTTGATGAGCACTTTCAAGTGCAAGAGGTTGAGGAGAATCGCCGATTGGCGGACTAGAATGTGAGGCAGGTTGGAAGAGTCGATCTTTCGCAGATCACGAGGCAGAAGGCCGTACTGTAGCAACCCTCGTCAGCATATCGAGAACTCCCAAGGAATGTGCGCAGCCGAGTCGAACCTTTGCGATAAGCTCCGTCTTCTTGAACTCCCCATCCACCAGGATAACCTCGCCAGTCTCATCGACCTCAGTACATCGCAGCCTCGGTTCCAGTGCAGCTTTTGCGGCTAGGATTCGGCGATTGTTGAACATCGAGCCAGCCTCGCCGTCATCGTGAGCAGGGAGGTCATTGGGTTGTAGCGGTTTGGCCCCTCCCCTTCCCTTCATACCCCAAAGCCTCTCCTTCCATGTCCGGCGCGGGGCCGAAGATTCGTCACCGCAGGCATCGCGCCTCATGCATGTCGTGCTGAAGGAGACAATCGTTGCGCCACTGCGCTTGCGAGTTGCCCGCAGTGTGACGAGCTCGGGTCTGCGGGGCGAGGTTCGAAGCAACTCGGGTCCCTTGCAGGTCGTGGTAATCGATCTCGCAGCCGTCCTCGGAGTCCTCCTTGCGAGACACTGTTGGTTATGAGCCGCAGGTCGAGCCTGGCCAGGTCGAAGAGCAGCACACCGGCCCGGGCCGAACACTGACGACGTCTCCGTTTGCGATCGCAGGAATCGAAGTAGGCTCGTCGAGGGCACCGGGGTGCGTAATGACGGAGGCATCGCGAACAGCCGACAGGTCGCACACACAGCGGCTCAACTGAACATGCGCGAGGCCGCTTGCTGGCGGTCGTTTGAAGAAATATCGCAAACCAGCAATCGATGCCACGAGCTTTCCTGCTGCCAACACTTTTTTTCGGCCATTTTTCCGCGCAACGGGAAAGAGTTAGAGTCGGGTCCGCATGCACGGACCAGGTGATTACACACCGTCCTTGACATCATTGGTCACTGTGCTCACACTGTCTAACCCACAACATGGAAATCTCAAAGACCCTCTCTCACCAGGGACTTCTTCTGTCGAAGTCTGTGAAGGGTTTTCCTTAGGTTGGGGTATTAGCATCCTGGGGCGGCATACTGATTTACGAGCGACTCTTGCTTTTCGACATTTTCTTCTCATTCGCCGAGTTTTTGATAGCCGATTTGGTTTGGGGTATTCGAGGTTTAATATCGGCGGCTTAAGGTTTTTTCACTTACACCATCCTTACCTCAGCGTCGGCCATCTCTTGAACCATCCTCGATACCCCTCCTCCACCCGCCCGGCTTGTAAGTTCGGCATATTTCCAAGCCTCATATTGTTCTTCATTTTTTCTAGAATGAAGTCGGAAAACTGACAGTGTCTCAGGGCACTTGCGGATAAAGAAGAAAGTGGAACCGGCGTCTTCGTATGATGAAGTTGACTCCCATCAGAGTCAGAGGCAAACGCAAAGCCGCCTCGTCCCCGTCAACCCACCAACCGGCTCAGAAAAGGAGATCCCGTCTTGCGGCACGCCGGGATACCAAGCGCGCAACCCCGGTGGAGCACATGCCCCTGGAGATCCTCGAGCGCATACTACTCTTTAGCGAAAACCTCAACTTGCTCAGGTGTAACAGCAGAATTGGCGCCCTGCTTTCTGGTCGAGGAACTCTCATCAACGTCATCATCAGTGCCTTTCATTCTACCTGGGACTGCTGGTTCGGGGTCGACAGGCATACGATCAAGACTGTCTTGAAACGCGGCGCGACGGATGAGTCGAGGTCGTTCAGAAGATATGAGAAGTTTCCCGAACTCTTTCCAGGGGACCCAGAATTCCAAGCACGTACCTCACCTTCAACCATCATGTGAAATACTTGCTGACTTTTATTCAGTCTTCCGTGCTAGCCAGTTCATGGATCAATGTGGATTTGATATTTGAGGCCCGGCAGGTCTGGGCTTGGCGCTTCGCCCGCGACAGGTGGTACTCACATACCCATGTTGGTCCTAAGGATGAAGAATCAGATCAAAACATCACGATAAGCTCACCCCACGACCGAAGTGGTGGCTTCGGTCATTTCGACTCGAGAGATTGCTTCGAATATGACTGGGCCCTGTATGGTCTCAGTGGCGCCAAACCGACTCTTGACTTCTACGTTGATGTACACCCAAAAACAACAATACCTGACGATCTAATTACTGGTCCATGGACACTCGAACAACAAAGGTTGCTTTTCTGGCTTCGCAGAGGCGGCGGCTTGATACAGCCCGAAACTCAAACTTGGGAGGTGAGTTGATGAAGAGCACCGGGTATACTTAACAAACTGACGTGGTAAACAGACTCTCCGAATGGGACTGCAAAACGCCGTCACGCATCGCAATCCTGGAAGTCTAAACGGTCGGCTGATTCAAATGCTGCTCCTTCTGGACGACTTCTTCCCCTCCAGAGGCCTTGCGGAGAGCCAGTCTCTGTGGCCCCTCGACGTCCTGGAAGAAGAGCACGCCAAGGTGGAGAAGCTTGTCAGCGCACGAGAGCGCAGCACCGCTGGTCCCTTATACGAACTCATCGAGCTCGAACGACGAATGTTTGACTATCACCGTCGCGAGGTCGACCTCCTAACGGCGAGACTGAGCCGGTACGACCGCATGGGGCCGCAATCAATGGTAGCCGTTGGACTCGTTCCCCAACCCCGGAATCACTAAGCTATGAAGAAGTCTTGCGCTATTGTACATACCTCCGGAATTCCGTGGCTTGTAATTATGAATACTGTAATCAAGGGATGTGTTGGTTGAAAAGTAACCATTTCATCTGGGGTCTGTTGTGTCTGTTGAAATGGCACCGAGACTGAAGGGCACGGGGACGGTGGATGGCGGCATTGTGATGATACCACGTACGATCTATGATTAGGACACGAAAAGTTGAGCTATTGAAATTTGTTGAATACCATGCAAAGGTCAAAATGAGTGTTCGTCGTTGAATGAGTCTCATATCTCCACAAAGGCACCTCATAGCCCCACCACAACGGCACTGCTGGTCTCGATAGACTTCCAAGAAGATGTTTGAGACAGTGTCAGAGTTGAACACCTGATGCCAGATTTCAACATGTTTACTTGCCGCTTTCATCACCCTCAACCTCTTCATCCTCACCATCCCTTAGTCTTCTTTCTCGCGATGGCGCCTGCCCTGCTCATCTGTCTCATGACCATCTTTTATTTTCTTTGTCGATATGTTTCCAGACAACAAGTTTACTTCTTAGAGGATTCACAATAACAATGTATTCGCTGTGGTCTCTTCTAAGAGGTCTGACAAGTGCAAAAAGGTATCTAGGCAGAGCTCGCACAATATTCAGAAAGCAAGCCAGTTGCCAGTGGTCTTTCTCGCAATCTTCATAACCCTCTATCCGTCCGCAAGTGCTCTACTGGGTACACTGCACATCATCGCAGCACGTGATTCGGCCGACGTTGAGATCGTTGCATTGGATGGAACCGCAGAAGTTCTTCTTAGCACCGCCTGAGCCGCAGGTCTTGTCGCACTTGATCTGTTGGCAAGACGCGCTGACGCCGGCGGCGTACATGACGGCAGCGGTGAGAAGAATGGTGATCTTAGAGAACTGCATGTTGATGATGTTTCTGTAGAGTTGCTTGTATCTCGAGAACTTCTCGGAGCCCTAGCGCTTAGGTTAGTCCAAGGATCTGCATGCTCACCACCTGAAGATCCACTTACAATGAGATGATAGTGCTAATGAGCTTCGGGAAACAATGATAGGATGATGTGTGCGAATGATATCTAATGTGAAGGCCGGTGTTCAAAGTGTTGGATGCCGTCTTATTTGTACTGATTTGACCGTTTAGAATGGAGACGATGAATACGTACGTCCGGAGGGATTCTAAAGTTTAACACTAGTCAGTCCCTTGAACGGCATAGAATTTCTAGCTGTTCGAAACGACTATATCGGCTACCCCGGAAGCATCCCTACTAAAGAGTTACTCAACTATAGCAAAAATCAACTTGTACCCATGCCAGACTGCGCAAACCCATAGCATATGTACTGCATCAGGATAGCATGTAGACTTTGGTAACTACAAAGCTACCATTTCCACCCGAACCACACTTGGCAGCGACGTGCAGCTGTCAAACGAGCATGAGATGACTTTATCGAGTCATGCTGTACCACAGCTATAGGGTCTCTTCTGAAACGCGAGCAGAACACGGTAACATTTTGTGTCAGCTGCCTGGACGTGTTTTAGAAGTCTGGTGCTAAGTCACCGTGTAGGAAATCCCATTTCGCGTGTGACAGAGATAGAAGGACTGGACTTCTGATCCCCTGGACAGGCCGGCACTGTCGGAAGGGACACGACTCGGAACGAGCCACGTAACCTGGGTTACCATTGGATCACTTGGTGAGCAAAGCGGGCAAGGTCAGTAAAGTTAGTAATGAGCCAGGTGAGCCAGGTGAGCAGGCCTCACTAACAGGCTGAAGAGATGAACTGGGTAATTATGATATGCTCATTACCCAGTATGTAGCATTGGCTTAGGACAGCTCTTCGGCATTTAATCTAAGTATTTACCCAGGATAGGTGTAAAGTTTCCAATCCACCATCGTCGCGTATTGCTCAGAATAGTACCACCTTGAAAGTTCCCTGAGCCGTTGCGGTGATGTGGCTGCTTGATCTTGTTGACGAGTGCGAGACCGAGGTACTGAAAGTATCGAACAACGACAAGGAGAAGACTGCCAGGGCCGATACAAACTGTGACTACGATGGTAGGGAGGAGGGGGAGGAGCCACTCGGTGAGATTGAGAAAGCTCTGGCGGGTACTTTCCGGATGATAGTTGGTTCTGGTGAGGATCCCAACCGTAAGCTGGGGACATACGGCACCAACTCCCTTCTACGCTCCGGCATACTCTTCGGACCACTAGGGTATTCATGCTGTACTTAGACTCTATGCAATATCGTCGAGATCTTCATCTGCGATACAAGCATGCCAGGGCCGGTCTCCTATAGATAAGCTTGTCTTCACTGGCTTATCTATGGGAGATCATTTCGAGTTTACCAGTAGTTATGGTCGTCTATAGTGGTCTTCGACGCATAAGTTCGAGTGGGAAGCCAGCATTAGGCAGGCTCATTTACCACACATGAAGTAAAGTCTGGGCGGGGTTCGAGGCACTAATGCAGTGTAAGAAACAGCATCTAGAGACGTGCACATTGCTCTTCACTGCCTCATTCATACCCATCGCAAGTGAGCTAGACATCATCTTCTGCAGCCTGACTGACTGGAATAAATTGAATATATATTTCTCTACTTAGTTTCCAGATGTTTAACGTTGTTTTCCTAGAGCGTTGCTAAGCCCCGAGAGCCTTTTATCACGATCTCTATAACGAGGTTGCCGCCCCACGCTTGTCACATATGATATGATTGCATCCTCCAATAGAACAATGACAGCTCTTACATTCGGCTCTTACACTCGAGCAGATATTCTGCTTGTAATTGTCAGCGTTTGGATAAAAATCCTGAGAACTCAGCCCCGCAAGGTTGATGTCATGGCTTGGCCCCGGTGAGGCGCCCAAGAGCGTTTTCATACGTGAGGCATGAAATCCCAACCACATCTCCAAATATCCTCTAAATCTCATTGACCTATCTCCTTTACAAACTTTCTTTTCAACGTTTTGGACAACTCGATTCGCCTTCTCATAATGTCACTGATGGCACTTGAATCGACTCCCTCTGACGCGGATGCCTTCAAACGCGTGTTTCCCCTGCTCACTGTCGACTATGCTCAGCTTAAAACCCAATTGCGGATATCTAGTCTGGAAAGTCTCAGGCAGTTGTCGAATATCTTAGACGACGACCCAGCGACTCGGAGAGAGCGAGATCGAATTTGCCACAAACGTCTCCAAACTAGCAGCACCGCGATTGCGTCACTCGACGTGGACTGCAACAAACAACTACAGAAAGCACTGGCAGCAGTCACATACAGGGGCGGCTTTGAACTTGTCAACTTTGACGACAATACAGCCCCGATAAGGCTTTGTATCTGCTGTAAAGCATTCGTCCAACACCCCGTGTTCGAAACTTGGACGGTGGGGGATCTTCAAGGTTTAGTCCGGACACGGTCAGCGAAGAACCATCACGACACATTATTCCAACTAATTGATTGCTGTTACAACTCGCGACCTGGTTGCCGTCTGTGTTAAGTGCTTTGGCGCTCTTTCGGGATGAGTCGACGTGAGCCGGGGCACCGATACTACCGGTATGAAGAGCCGTTCAGGTTGTGTATCATGCGTCTGGAAAGCAGTAGCAATCTAAGCCTTGCTTCAGACATGGTCCAGTTCGTCGACAGACTCCAGCCCATGAAATGCCCAATGATACGCGTGAGGCTCCTACGTAAGGCCCATCCAAAACTCATCCCTGCCTGACTTGACCAGACTGACACTACGTAGGTCCTGAGGACGTGACGCGGAGAGACCAACCCTCTTATTCGAAAGTTGGAACTTGCACCAACTCTGAAACTGTCTTTGAACGGATCCACGAGTGGCTGCGTACGTGCTTTGAGAAGCATGGTGTCTGCCGCAGGTATCCCGCATCGTCTCAAACACCCACGCGATTAGTGCACATCGACTGGCCGAACAAGAAGATACGGGTGTTGGAATCCGTTGGCTCAAACCCTCAATATGTCACACTCAGCTACCGATGGGGTGTTAGCCGGTCCGCGTATAAGTTGACCGCAGAGACAAAAGTCAAGCTGACTTCAGAGAGCGGCGAATCCATGGACCGACTACCTAAGACAATCCAAGATGCATGTTTTGCTTGCTATCGACTTGGGTATCGGCATCTCTGGGTCGACAGGCTTTGCATAATGCAGGACTGCAAAGAGGACTGGGCCAGAGAATCTTCCAAGATGTCCCAGGTCTATAGGAACAGCGTTTGCACTATTTCTGCAAGCTGTGCGGCAGATGAAGACCGGGGGTTGTTCACAGACCGCAGCCATTTCAATTTCCAGCCATTTCATATCAGGATCAAAACATCACAAACTGAATCCCAAGAATCTCTGGTAATCATGCCCGATAATCAGCATGAAGGCCATCCCAGCGGAATGCTTGGATATCTGGCTAACCGTGGGTGGGTATTTCAGGAGAGACTTCTCTCGAAACGTACCGTCTATTTCGGCAAAGAGCAAGTATTCTGGGAGTGCAGCGAATTACAAGCCAACGAGTCGTGGCCCTGTGGACAGTCGCGGCCGCTTGGCGAGCTCTACGAACTGGAACTGGGCACACCTTATCATCAACATTATGTTCCACCGAGAATGGCCTTCGGGTCAGCGGCAGCATGGAAGATATCAACGATGTGCAGTAGCATTTGTGGTATTCAACGGTTATTGTTGCATCTTTTGCACTGGCGAGGGCAAGGACATGGAGCAAAGAATTATCGGAGTACTTCGGCGCGAGTGGCACGAAACGGGGATCCTTGGCCGAGGATCGTGGCGGACTACACCGAGCGTATTTTCACTTTCGAAGACGACAAATTACCTGGGCTCTCTGGGCTTGCAACCGATTTCAACAACAATCACAGAAACAGCCAAGACAAATACTATGCCGGATTATGGAAGTCTACCATTATTCAAGACCTTTGCTGGCAGGTTGTCAGGCAGGGCAGCAAGTACTCCCGTACGCGGCAAACAAAACTCCCTTCGAAGTACAGGGCGCCGTCTTGGTCCTGGGCCAGCGTGGACTCCAAGATCCAATATGAGCGCGGCGTTCAACGAAAGGCGGTATTCCTAGTGGACTACAAGGATATCTGCTTGTCCTACGCTAGCAATGACCGTCATGGTGCGATCTGCGACGGGTGGATTCAGCTCTCGGGTTTCTTGAAGCCTGTGATAGTCTCCTTGTATGACGACAAGAGAAAAGCTCTCTTGTACGGACCCAAGAGAGAAAAGTTAGACTTGTTCTACAATGCATATGCTGACTTCGACGTCGAAGATCCGGCTGACGAGACACAAGTGTTTTGTTTACCAATGATTCAACCGGACAACGATAATGAGGTGTATTTCCAGTTTCTTCTTCCAAGAGGAACAAGTAAGCATCCGCAACCAACGCAGAAGTTGTTGGGGCTAGCGAAAGAAGGACCACAAGAAATTCAGAGGGTTGGCCTGGGATCTGGACTTATCAAGGATGAGACAGCATTTGCTAAATGGCTTTCGCAGAGTCCTAAGCAGGATATTGTAATTCGTTGAACTGACTCTTCCCATGCCCATAGATCGCTCTGAGCTACTTCACGAGACGGTTTACCTTCTGAAAACTTACAGGCTCGTTTAGCGTCAATGATTGTCCTGAGCCCTCGTCTCCCTTTCTGTCCTTGTCATCCGTGAGGGCCCAACTTTCTAGAAGCCAACAGAAGCAAAGACCAGCAACCCCCTTACTGCATAGGAACATACCAAAGGGCGCATCAAGATATCAGCCCAACCACTCTACCCGCCATAATCCAACCGGCATACCACACCGGGACGTCGGATCACTTAACCCGGCCGCATGTATCCGACGCACTCACATCTGTAACCCAGCGGCACGAACACACACAAAGGACTTCCCCAATCCGTCTCGCCGACCATCTTCATGCAGCTTCCCCTCAAACGCCGCGGGGCCCAGCACGCCGTATCAGGTAAACAAGGAGGGGAAAACGCATGGCATCAATAGAGAGGACATATGACAGAATCGGACAACACACAAAGCATCGCATCAATATTGGGAGACTTCTCGTCTCGTAACCCTTACACTAGGTAACTTCAAACCTCGCCGTTCGGCGTGAGCAACACCAGCCCCGACCTCAAGCGCGCCGGAGACTTCTGCTCGGGCTCTTACAAAGCAAACCTCCCGGACTTCCCGGAAGAATAGGCACTGGGTCATCATGATCCATATCGCCTCCGCCAGGCAGACCGAAAGCCTGCGCGGGCAGCTGGAACGGGACCACCGTCTGCCTAGACAAGCACCTTGTCAAGCCAGGCCAAATGTTCTCAACCTTGTCGAAACACACGATACTTTGCACGCGGGCATGCTGCGCCGCCCCTTCTGCCTAGCAGAAACCACACTCGTCAAAGGAAAGTCAGACCTCCATGCCCCCCCATCGTGACCTGCAAGAAAAAAAAAAGGTNCGTCAAAGGAAAGTCAGACCTCCATGCCCCCCCATCGTGACCTGCAAGAAAAAAAAAAGGTGCCCGAGGGTGGATGGTGGCGGCTGCTCAGCCGGTTTCCCTGGCCCCAAGATACACACATTGAAGGAGTCGATGTTGAACAGGCACCACTCGGTCCCTACACCATCTTCACCGCGGCAACCATTTCGGGAAACAAAATTTTCAATAAGAAAGTCGTGCTTGGTGCGTCTCCCTAATCCCTCATAATGAATCATCTCATACGGGAGATGAGTCCACCAACCGTAGTCTAGACCGTGACCTTAACTGCATCTACATCCCTCCCCGGCACCTCGCCGCGGGATGCACATGTACACCTCGTCAACTCACCGTGAATGACCGTCAAAACACCTGCCGTCGCCCAGGCTAGCGTAAATCGGTGTCCCTGTTTGGTAAGGAATATCAAACCACCCATTATTACGACACCACCGGGTGAAGAAAACATCCCGGAGGAGAAGGGAGGGGGGGCCAACGTTGGTCGTCGCGCAGGGTTGCCAGGCGGTCGGGCGGTGTGACTCACTCACCTTTCGACCCCCATCTTATCGCCGACAAACACTTGGACGACCGAACCCAGCCCTTCGGCGTTACCCACTCCATTCATCAGCGTCCTGTCAAAATGCGTCTCACAGTGAAGCGCTCCGGTGGTTCGTCCAGTCCATCGTCATTTGGGGCAGATTTTTCCGTCTTCGGCGGCAGCGCGAAAACAAGGTTGTAGCCCAAGATAACCAGGAACCATCATCATCGGGCTCCGTTGCGTTGGCGGAGGGCTTTGAGGTATCCGGGCCGGCGCGCTGTCACCCAATGTGACCTTCGCAACCCGCGCGACCGCCATGTCATCGCACATGTTCGGAACCGTTCCGTCGAGCTTTCATCATTCATGAACCTAACGAGTTAGTGAACGGCACCAGAGGCCGCAAAAGTAAGGCACATACACGCAAAGAGGCGCAGAGGGCTGTTTCCAGCTTGTGAGAATGGTAATATGATAGGTCGCAGGCAGAGCAACAACTGTTGTTTCTTTGGTTCCAATAAAGCTGGCTATGAATCTCTCGAATTATAGCTTCATCGCTTAATGTGTCAAGTTTGGTGTGTACCAATAAACATGTGTATGATATCGATGCTTTGTCATCGTTCATTTTGTGTGTGTGGTCTTCCAGCTCGTTAGACTCTTTTCGCGTGGCTCCCAAGTCGGGGTTGTCATCGTGACCTGGGAGGACCGCGTACAAAAGTAGTATCGAGACGTGTCTCGTTCAACTCGTTCGGTCGCCCCTTTCGGATCTTCCGTCGAGCGCCCAATCACACATTCCCATACTCTGATTGTGGGCGTTTCGGTTCGACGAAGAAGCCCCATTCGTTTTCCGTCCCTTTCGTGCAACTCCCGTATCCGAATTGCTTGTTTTCCCTGGCGCAAATAAAAAGCAAATTGCAACGCAAAATCGACTCTCTTCTTCGGGTGATCGTACAAACACAAGTTTGCGGTCAAACAGCCGCCGTAAATCCACCTTCGCCGTCCACCTCCCAAAATGCCCAGATCCGTTGATGCATGCAAGATTATCACGCTTTTCGTGCCGCGCCCTGACGCCATCTAAGCTTCTAAAAGACTTGATGTACCGCCAAGGTGGTATCAAAGCTCTTTCCGTTCCCCACCGCCCCCCGTTACTTCGTTCTGACAAAGGAAATGGAGGATATTGCACAAGAAGGTCAAGTTTGATTTGACGTTTGCCCCATAGGGTATCTTGGGGGGGGTTGCATAACAATTATTCAGTTAAGAATTCCCTCCCACATACCCGGTCCGCGGTATCCGCCGATCGAGTGAAGTGATGAAGCCTCGTAGGCTGGGGTAGCCTCGGTCGCACAGCAAACGCGCTTTGAGCTCCGGTCAGGCAGGGTCATCTGGCCAGCGCGGGAGCGAACCAGCGACTGCGACCATTGCCTGCCAGAGAAGTTGCCAGAGAGCATGTCCCTGACGTTCTCCTGGAGTGAACTGTCAATGATGGAGACGCCACGGGCACGCTTGCGCGAGGCCGAGGCAGTTGGGGTGGCTCCATCGGTGCGATAGTTCTGCAGCTCTTGAAGCGCGCGCGCAGCGTCGTTAGCAGGGTCGTGAGCCATCTCTTCCAAAGACATCTCTCCAAGTCTACCCACCGGGCCGGTGTAAGACTCGGGAGATGAGGTGATGCAATGCTCTTCATAGTCCTCAGGAACCGATGTGATTGTCGGCCTCAAGCTAACCCTCTCACTGCACAGCTTCGCAGACCGGAATCGCGCCTGAACACCCAAGTTGGGAGCCGGCGCGCTAACCAGTGATGAAGCAGACGAGATAGAGGAGGAGCGGGAGGTGCGTGACGAATCAGAAACCATCGATTCGGGTGAGGAGGCAGTCGAGATTGAGTTGGCGAGAGATGAGCGACGGACGGGGCAGTAACCCTGGGGCGACGATGTGTTGGCGATAGGCCAGCGATCCAGGCACTGAGCAGCAGTGACACAGGAGGCTTGAGCCATGGCGAGACCCATGGCACCCTTGCCGAGGTTGGAGGCACTCACAGCAGGAGTACTGTATCCGCTCGACTGGGGAGTGAGGCGAGGGGTGGGAAGGAGACCGAGAGCAGGAGCCAGGCGACCAGGAGTATATACAGCGGCCGGAGTAGGCTCCATGATGGTGGGGGTGTGGAAAGATCGCGGGGTCGGAGTGAGCTCCGCCGAATCAAATCCCAAGCCGCAAGTGCCGCTCATGGCCAGCGAGTCCTGGGTAGCTGCCAGCCTGCTGCGGTGACGAGCCACGGGACGAGGGCTAGGAGTAAGGTTGGCGGCAGGGATCAAACCCTCAATGTTGTCGAGCTCGGGGTTGAGCTGGAGGATAACCATCTTCCAGTTTGAGCTCTGCTGAGCGTACCATTGCGCCGAAGTTCCGGGGGCGGGAGGAGAAGGAGGCGTGTACTTCAAGGCAATATCGGTCCATCTCTGGAAGATTTCGTCGGTGATGTGCAACTTCCAGTCAACTGCCAGTAGGAAAGCGATCTCGTTCTGATTGATCTCTGCCGTGTTGAGTCCTGAAATCTTACTCCAAGCTCTCGCGGAGTAATTCCGATCCTGAAGGTACTTGGAAGCCAAAATAAGCGCGGCGAGGAACATGCGGCGGCCACATTGAAGGGCGCGGCACTCGTGCTTATCGTCGGGCTGTTCCATGGTAAAGTCATGTTTCGGAACGTGGGGCTTGATGAGAATCAAGTAGTAGAGAGCGACCTGTAGGGTGGAGTAGCTGGTGCGCGAGCGTCGCAGAGTCTCTTGGATGAAGGTGCGCAGCGGCAAGACCGCCTTGTTGCCCAACTCATTGCGGCAGACGGCGGAGGACAAGGGCCAAATAGCTTCGACAATCTGGGTCGACGAATCTAAAAGGGCCGGGTTAGGGAACATCATGATCGCATTTTTGCTGTTATTGCTGCTTACCGACGAGGTTATCGACAAAGTTGACCTTGCGCTCGGCTTGGCGAACAAGTGGCGGGGGAGCTGCGCCACGGGTTGCGCCTGCACTGGTCCGTCTGGGGTTCTGGCGCAATTCGGCAGGAACCGCAACAGGGGCCTGCTGAACGGATCGCTTCGCCCAGGGGCTGGTGAATTTGACAGCAGTGTCACGCGTAACGGATCGTGAAAGGCAGTATGAATCGGCGGAATCGGAGTCGGAGGTGTTGGTGGGCGAAGTGGAGGTGGATGATTGGGAGGAGACAGCGGACCAGACAGAACCCGAGGAGGCAGACGCCAAGGATTCTACTGAGGAGCTGTAGGTGTCGTTTTGGTAGGTGCTGATGAAAGCCGACGAATCATTGTCGACGTACTTCATCTTGGGTGTATAATGTGGGGTTATCGGCGTTGGAGAATTCGTGTTATGGAGGATACTCCAGTCGCCGTCAAGCTAAGTCAACCGGGTAAACCGTGGAAGGTTCGTTATAATCAGATCGTGGTACCGTATCGGGAACGCGAACCTCACAGCAGTGTATGCAAACTGCTGCAAAGTCCTTTAGAGTTGTAGATATGGAAGGCGGCTTCTAGACGCA